GCGGGATAGAACCCGAATAACCAAAGATCCATATATATATATATATACACACATACATACACACACATACATACATACATACATACCCACACACAACCACAATCTCTCTTTATATTAAAAAAACCCTCACAAATATATTTTAATGAGTAGAATGGAGATGAGGTGTGTTGGTGCCCAAGTCATACGTTCAGTTGTCTCTCATGTCCAAAATGCTCCAAACATGTCAAACTATTTCCCAAGGAACATTACAGATAATTTTAAAAAGAGAATGTTATGTGTCTAAAGAGAAGAAATTCTAAAAACTGGACTCTGCTGTTTCTCAGAAGGATACGTCTATCTCCACCTAGATATTTGCCAAGTTTTTTATTTGGGACTTAGGAGCACTGAAACTCCAATGACATTAATCATAGATATTTATGAATGTCTTGTTGCCCCTATGCCTCACCCACTCTTTTCCCAATGGCTAATTGCCACCAGGCTGGGATGGAAACTTGGCATTTAAACCAAGATTGATTTGCCCTTTGCTGAGTCTTCTGACTCAGTCCAGAACCTGCTGTGCATTACATATTCCCATGGTGCATTATTTCTCATGGCAAGGATTTCTGTTCCACCTTCTGGGCTAAGAAATTGCTTTTTGAGTAACATCAAACATTTCTCAAATTTGTTTCCAATGTCTGGAGATGTTAAGTCATTTATTTGCTCCTATTTCACTCATCATGCATTAAATCTGGAGAAGTGTGGGGTAGCTCACTTTACAGGAGAGGTCACTGGAAACCACTTTCTATCTAAGCAACAGCTAGCCTTCAGTGCCAATTCTCACAACCAATCAACTCAGAAAAATCCCACACTTCTTTCTAACAACTCACATAGTCCAGAATCAAATCCACTTTCATTTAAGGTACAGTAACTTGTTTCATTTGAATAGTAGATGGCATAAGATTTGTGGCTCAGTAAATCAGATTGAAGAAACAGTCATCTTGAATATCTTCTCTACTTTAGGGGTCATCTCCATCTACAATGCAGATTCTCACATTATCATAATTACTGGTCCTCATGGTGGTTATTTATTCTCTTTGTGCCTATAGCAGCAACCAAATCTGAAGGGACAGAAAGGGGAGGCAGCGGTCATCGAACCTGTGAGTAAGATATGTTTTCTGTTCTGGCTTTGCCAAAATCCATCAGCCTGGTTGGAGACTTAATTTCAGCACAAAGTGGCGGCTTGGGGTTTGTGGTCAGTTCCATCTTGATTCTTGGAAGGATAAATATCCAAAACTCTAGTGGCTTCTATACAGTTGAGAGATACTAGGAATATACTCTGGAAATTTGAGATAGAGCAATTGGGTCTTGGATGAGGACAAAAATCTTGCATACAAGTCCAAAAACAAACACTTACAAATATATGAGAGTGGGAAATCTATCCCTTTATTGCATTCACAGAGTGGTTTCTGGATCTTAGCTGAATGTTTTGTATGCTTTATTAGTGGCTGTGATATGCTGGGTTTTTCCTCTGATAAGTATAGATCACAATATAGTTTTCCCTTCTGAGGATAGTTAGCATAATTGGGCCCCAGAATCACAGGCATATATCATGATAACATCTCATGGGTACAGAAGATCTAATTATGCAACAATTAGCTATTTCTTTTTTATACATTCAACAAGCTTGTTACTTGTGCAGAGCATTCAACCATAAGCATGTAAGTGGTTTATTCCTCAGGTATTAAAGAATCATTAGCATTTCTCTTATCCTTCTTGCAAGCGTGTGAACTTATTTCAGTGCTTAGAGGCAATTAAATTCACATCAAATAACTTTGTGAATATTCACAGGCCACAAAGTCACCCTTTCCATTCAGAACCAGTTCAAGATTGTTAAATCTTTCTCCTTTCTTGCTGTTGCAGGGTATGGTTTTTGAAGGGCCAGCTGGATATCGGGGTCCACAGGTGAGAGACATAATAAGTATGGTGAAATCAGTTTTCCCAATCACTTTAAAGCTGTTGAGGTGGTCACCTCCTTCCTGGTTCCTGGTTTCCCCCCCCACCCCCCTTCTGGGCAGGGCACAGCATTTTTTGCAACAGCACAATCCAGGTTGGTGCCATTATAAACAGGATTGGGAATAGACCTATCTCCATGTCTTTGTGCTCCTTTTTCTGCCTTCTCCCCTGCATGTCCTTAGATGGGAGAAGCAAAATCGCAGGAAGGTCTTGAGAGGGTTGATTGCCCCTTCTCTGTAGAATTTTGTCTCAATCATAGATGTTTGAAAATACATTTAATATACGAGAAACCGGCTTGCAGGGCATGGGATAAGTAGTTTAAGTCCCAAACACAAACAGGGAGCTTGCAGGCAAAAAGATAAATTTAAACTTCGTATAGCATGATTACTCCCATGAACATGACCCACTGAAGTGTGCAATTCGTGCATGATCATTGATTTGCCCCAAAACTCCCAGTATATTTCATGGGAATGTGAATATCTCTGCGATTCCACCCACCCCAATATTTTAGCACGAAAGTAACAGTACAGTGGAATCTCTGGTCACAAACACTTCTGACCACTATCAAATTGGGTTCTGACCAAAAACCACAACATTTTTAATCGGGTCATGATTCAAAAATCAGGCGGCGATCAAACACAGCTGTAGCCTATTCCCTTTCTGCGCCGATTTCCCCTTCCATGCCATTTTTTTGTAGGCGCATGTGCAGACGGTCTTGCTTCCAGTCACGACCAAATTGGATTGCGACCGAAGTTACAGAACAAATTATAGTCATGACTGGAGGTTCTACTGTACTCTGTTTTCTTTTGCCAGGCAGTTGCAAGAAAAATATATATTAAAGAACAGGGTATCTCTGAACATTAGATACCAACTTCTTGAACTGAACTGAGTTGCAGCACTCAAGTTGTTGATTCCTGGAAACTTAAGAAACCTTCATTTCAGCAGCCTCATGATGGAGGGAAAAATTATGAGAAGCTGGGTTTTTTTTTTATCAAGTCTATCAAGGATCATCCAGTATTCTTCTGATCATTGATCTTTTAACTTACTTCCCCAATATGCCTTCCTATAACCAATTATCAACTTCTATCTGTCCCTCCATTTAAACTCATTACAGGTAGTCCTTGACTTACAACCACAATTGAGCCCAAAATTTCTGTTGCTAAGTGAGACATTTGTTAAGTGAGTTTTGCTCCATTTTATGACATTTCTCTCTACAGCTAAGTGAACCACTGCAATTGATTTGTTACTATCTGTTGAGTGAATCTGGCTACTCCATTGACTTTGCTTGCCAGAAAGTCACAAAAGGGAATCACATCACCTTGGGACACTGCAAGTGTCATAAATATGAACCAGTTGCCAAACATCTGAATTTTGATTACATGACCATGGGGATGCTGAATAGGTCATAACTGTGAAAAATAGTCATGTCCCTTTTTTCCGTACTGTTGTAACTTTGAAAGGTCACTCAACGAACTGTTGTTAATCAAGGACTACCTGTAGAAGGAAGTAAGCAAACAGGAATACCTGTTTGATAAGATGGAGAAAAAAAGCCTTGAATTTGAGGAATTAGAATGTCTTCAATAAGGACCTGTTAATGTTTTTTGCTTATTGATAGACCTTATAAAACATGCCATATGTTTCTGACAGTTTAGTCAAGAAGTACAGAGTTTTACAAAAAGTATAATCCAAGTACATCTGCAGAAGGAGACTAATGATTGATGTTAGTATCTAGGTGTATTATGCGGTCTTTTCCTGTTACCCATAGGGAGGAAAAGGAAACTATGCATAATTTTTAAACTTCATTGTCTGCAGCCTGATTTTTGGAACAGTCAGACATAAAGTTGTTGCTGTAGATACATTTGATCCAATGCTTGGTTTGGATATTACTGTGTCATGATGTTTCTATTTTAAAAGAAGAATTATCTGTGAGATTTTCTTCATTTATCTTAATTTTCTGCTGTATCGTTTCCCAGGGAGAGATGGGTCCAATAGGATCACCAGGGCCACCGGGATTTCCAGGAGATCCTGGCGAGCGGGTAAGGAAATCTCTATGTGGTTCAAAGGAATGATAGTCTCTTCGATATTTCCCCCTGGCGATTTTTCATCTTCTCTGAAAATGGTGGGTGTGGGGAATAAGGAATTGCCGGCATGCGCCCTTTCTGTGTATCTCTTTGACAAGCCTCAGCTTGATATTGCTTTCTTTTAGTCCAACGATTCTCAAAAATGACTGACAGAAGTATCTTAACTCACTTTTGCACAGGGACCACCAGGCCTCCCAGGCCTTCCAGGAGCTGATGGGCTACGTGGACCTCCTGGGACAATGATCATGTTGCCAGTAGGTGATGCAGGGAAATGGATCAGTTTAAGAATGTGAGATATACTGGCAGGAAATAACGTCATCCTGTCCCTTTGAGAAGCAGATTGAGTGATTTTCAGTTTTAGTGAATTTTTGATGTAAAACAAGAATCCTTTCTGAGTTTCCAGGGGCATTATTTTGAGTATATTCCAGCTGCAAAAATGTGTTGACATTGATTATAAAATAAGATCCCAGATGATAGGTTAGGTAAGAAACGGGTCAAGAAGAACTCACCTTTATGTGAACGAGTATCCAGGAGGGAAGCTTTTTTTTTTTTTTTAATATGGAAAGGATTTTGATATGGAAAGTTTAAGGACTGAGGAGCTAAGTTCATATATACAACTCATCCCTCTCTAAGAACAGGAAAGTTGATAACCTTTAAAACCAGAATGTTTTGAGTTTTCTACAGTTGAACCCATTTTCTACCCTCCTGGCACCAAATAAACATCAATATTTCAATTACTAAATGTGGGTGATGCTTTCACTTAAAGATGCTAGATATGAAGATTTGCTTTTTTTGGTAGGAGTGTCATAGTGATGGCATATTGCCATCTGGTTTATCTAGCAATAACCTCAATTCCATTGCTCTCTTTCTTGAATTTGTGTTACCAATCTATTTCCAGTTCCAGTTTCGTGGTGATTTACTTAAAGGACCTTCAGTATCTTTCCAGGAGGCCCAGGCTCAGGCTATTTTACAGCAAGCCAAGGTAAGCATTGTGGGCCAATGTATGAATATATGTGCATATGTTAAGCTTCTTTATCTTAAATCTTGATTTCTCTAAGTAGTCAACTTGTTTTGCTCCAGCACTTAACACTTTCTGCCTCTCTCTCCTTCCTCTTCCCCTCCCTCCCTTTCTCTCGTTTCTTATTTCTGTTCTGGTTAATGTTCTATATGTTTTTTTCAAATCCTTAATGCCATCCAGAGTATTGAGATATTTGACCTTGGAAATGTGAATTATGGGTGAATAAATTGAAATAATAATACTGCAGGTTTCAAGTGATTTCTAAATCATGTCGCTCATCGTAGAATGTCAGCTAATCAAATTACTCAAATCACTATTCATCTACCATTAAATCACAGTCTCCCAATTCCCTCAGTGAGGTTATGTTTGCTTCAGCAAGTCATGGTCATAAAACAGAGCCAGCTTGGCTTTCTGCTTGAGACACCAGGCTAGAAACTGGGAGACTATGAATTTTACTCCCAGCTTTGGCACAAAGCCAGCTGAGTAACTTTGGATACTCTCAGGAAGGAGGCGATGACAAACCACTTCTGAAATCTTGCCAAGAAAACAGCAGGAACATGTCCAAACTGGCTTAAAGCAAACAAACAAACAATAAACAATTAAACTTAGTTAACTGTGGGTTTAGCAGAGTTTCCCAAAGATTCTGCATTTCTTTGCACTTAAATTAATCTGATTATCCATTTTAAACAGTCTTAGAAGAGAGCAAACAAACTTGAAAGAGAGGAATCATAGAGCAGTGGTCGCCAACCGGTGGGGCAGAGACCACTGGTGGTCCATGAGAAAATTTTGGTGGTCCGCAGAGAAATGCCACCCCCAAAGCACCCCCCCCCCCAGAGCAGTTAATCAAGGCTGCATGGGAACACAAGGTTGCACCGCCCACATAGCCTGTGGGAACATAAGGCTTGCATCCCTTGCATTGAGAACAACACGAGGTAGTGAGGGGAGTGGGGAGTGGGGAAAGGAGGGGAATTTGCTGCACTTGCCCCACGTGCCTGGCCTGGCCACCGGGCTGCTTCTTTCGCTTCTTTCTTCTTCTGCTTTTGGCTGCACACAAGGAAAGCAGAAAAAGTCTTTCTTTCTCACCCCCAAACTCCGCCAGAAATTAGTTTTTGGGACCCTGCAAGGCATCCTGCTCCAAGAGGCTGCATTGGCGCAACAAGTCTCACAAAGACTCATTTCTGGCAGAGTTTGGGGGAGAGAAAGAAAGACTTCTGCTGCTTCTGCTGGTTTCCTTGCATGAAGCCAAAAGTCTCTCTCTCTCCACCGCCCCGAGAACAGAGCTGGAGATGGTATCCTGTAGTGGAGCTGGAGATGGTATGCAAATAAAGAATGATTGATCGGTAGGAAAATGGGGTGGGCAATTTTCCTGCAGAGTTTTTTTTTGGGATTTTCCCAGGGTCTCTGGTCCGTGGGATTTAAAATTATGAGTTTGGTCCCTGAGGTCCAAAAGGTTGGTGACCCCTGTCATAGAGGGTTAGCATCCTCTATATAAAGCAAGAACCTAAAACAGCACCCACAAAAAAATGAGCCTCTCTAGGAACTCCTGTTTTCTGATCATTTGACACTTTTGAAATGGGAAATAACAGTCCTCCCCTCCCTTAGAAGATATAAAACTTCAGGAAGTGAGTCCAGCCAACTTTAAAGTGGCAATAGTCCTTCTCCATTTGATCATGATATCTATGTTGCCAGTTGTCATTCATGACAGTCTATGTTTACCTCAGGGTACAACAATTATGTTACCTGTGTGTCATGCAAACCCATTCTAACTAAAGGTTTCCCATATAGATTATTCACATTCTGTTTAAAGGAATAGCTTAGTAAGTCAGACTTAAACAGATACCGTACAGAACAGAAACAAAATATTCACCCATCCCAATGGAGAAGTGATTAGATTGATTTAAGATTTTTTTTTTAAATGGTCCTAAATTAAATCTGCACCTGGGTTGAGAGATCATTTGAAGAGCAGAAGATCTTTTCAATAATTTAGGTTAATGATGTAGTCATGCCCTACAATAAGACGAATAGCATGCCTTTTCTCATTGATTTGAATCAGATAGAAATTGGCTTAGTCAAAGCCAAGCAAAACCAAAATAATTTCAGAGCCCAGTTTGTCCACTTCTCTGCATATAGTGGTACAAACAGAAGAAAGAAGATGAATGAAATCACTGCTACCCAAACATTACTTTTTCTCCCATTTTCACCCATACCTCAGACAGCATCTTCTTTCCCCTTCTTGCTTACAATTACTCAATGGACTTCTTCCCAGCTCCTTTTGATATACTACAACTCATCATTTTCTTTCTCTACTCAGCTTTCCATGAAAGGGCCTCCTGGCCCAATGGGACTCACGGGAAGGCCAGGACCACTAGTGAGTAAATGTTCAAAGCTAACCCATCAATTGAGAGTAATAGGAATTTTTAAAGGAAAGTTTTGAGTTTCATACTCATCTCTGTGCTGTGAATCATGGTTAGCTTATTATTGTCTATGTATTGTATTTGGACTGAAATGAAATATTATTTAGCATATAATAGATTTCATAGGGAAAAAAAACACAATGTGACCCACGAGCATTTTTCTTTCATAGACATTGAAAAGAACTTTCATTTCTTGAAATTGTCTAAACTTATTTGTGGGCCAAGCTACAAACAATCTTATCAATATCATATCTGTGATTGTACAAAAATTCAGGGACTGAAGAATGGAATGTCTCAGAAAACTCCAAAATATTTTATTTCCTCTCCAGACCATGAAGTCTCAGGATCATGACATTCTGGGGAGAGTTTGGCAATTTCCAGAAATTCTGTCCCCCTTTGGATCATGCTATACCTTCCTAAAATAGCATGTCCCAGGGAAGAATTTGTATGTCTGGAAGGAGAAATTATTGAGTTTTCTGAAACATATTGTTCCTGAATTGCTACATGTTGTGTATTTCTATATTGCCCTGAGGTATGGGATTTTTCCCACACACAGAGAAGGGGGGAGAAAATCATACTGGGGTATAATTTCCCTCTATACTACATTGCTGCTGATATCAGATGATAGCATTTCTCTGCTTTCTATATTTATACAGAAAATAAATTAGCTTGGGCAAATGTGAAGCTACCACTGATAAGAGTTGATCTCATCTTTAGTTTTTATTTCCTGCTCCAGACTATTCCCCCAAATTTACTTTAGGCTGTGAAACCACAACTCCCCACATTTTATTGATGAATAAGTGTAGAAGAGTGTGCAAACAATATCACAACATGCATCAGTTTCTGTTAGAAGAGAAACTAATATTTTCAGGGGAAGAATGCCTGAATTTTCCCTCACATGTATTACTTTGCTGATATTATTTTTAGAATTAACAGATAGAATAGTTCTTCTGTTCCATCAAATCCTGGATGTATTCACTGTGGTTGGATTGTTCATCTTTGGAATATTCTGGAAGAAATTAATCTGTTTTTAATATGATTTCTACAGGGTCTACCAGGAAAATCAGGACAAAAAGGGGATTCGGGTGATTCCGGACCCCAGGTTGGTTGCTGAAGATGGACAGGAGGGGCTTGGGCTGTGCTGGTAGGGAATTCTGGGAGTGGAAATCTAACACCTCTGGAGGACACAAGGTTGGTAAAGTGTGAAGTATAAAAATGCCAGGCTGATGTCCAGTCTCTTTTCCATTCAGGTTTTCTTATTCTTTTCTCCCTTTGTGCCTTCGAGTCAGTTTTGACTGCTATTGACTGCCTGGATTAATCCCTGCAGTTTTCTTGCCAAAATATTATCAATGGCTTGCCATTGCTTTCTTCTTCAATGAATGATTCAAGGTCAACAAGCTGAGTTTGTGCCCAAGGTGGGACAAGAACTCAATCTCCTGTTTCTAGCCTGGTATTTAACCGTTACACCAGAGGCGGGGAACTATGGCCCTTTTATGAATTGTGGACTTCAATTCCCAGAATTCCTGAGCTCAGGAATTCTGGGAATTGAAGTCCACAAGTCATAAAAGGGCCATAGTGTCCCACCCTCGCATTACATCAAAGTGGCTCTCCTTCATTATTCTTGCACTTGTTTATCTCTTGCCCATTTTACAGTTTTGTACCATATATATATCTTTCACATTATAATTTCTCCAGCCTGATAGATTTACTTTGCCTTATTATATTGTACTGTTCCTTATTGAACTGCATAAAAATGCAATCTGAATATGAAATAAGCAGTTTTGCAATATAGATAATAATTCATCCCTTCCCCCAAATTTGGAAGGTGCACTGTAGCCATTTTAAGCATGCTGATCTTTTCTCCTGGCACGCTCAAATGAGAAGGCTTTTAGGTTATCCTTAGCAGACAGAATTCTGGAATTGGTAGCAAAATAAGTTAATGAGTCTTTTTTCCATTGATTTCTTTTTTTCTTCCCTCCCCTCATCATAAGCATTTGCTTCAAACCATAAAGACTCTTTTTCCATCTCCAACAATCAGTTGTATTATCATTTTTTAGACCTAAAGGTTTCTTTAAATATATAGTGTGTTGCAAAGGTGCATGCAGATAAGCTGACTCTACATCCAAATGATTTACAATGTATTTCTCCTTAGCTGCCTACACTAATGCTGTACTTAATGTAGTAGCCTTCAGACTAGTGCAATCACCTCATCATAGTCATTTGCTGTCTGATTGAACCCTTGTGCTACTAACCTGGCTTTATGGGTAACGTCCCATCCACACCTGTCTTCAGTTTATAAATCCATTTACATCCTATGGCATGTTTACCTGGTGGTAACTTAACGTTTTCGTATACCTCCAGTCTTTTTAATGATTCCAGTTCCTTATCCATTGCTTTCTGCCAAGCAGCCTGATCTTTAGCAGGATACAGTTTTAGTTCACTATAGTTACTTGGAACTGTATTCACTTGGCATACAACACTAGCCTGATATTTATCAGGTGGTCATGTTACTCGGGTTGAACATCTTGGTAATACAGGGCTAACTGGTGGACTCACCTGTGCCACCTGCTCCTGTTCTTCTACCTCCTCCTGTGCCTGTTCTCCTACTTCCTCCTCTTCTTCCTTTTTAATGGCTGTTCGTGGTTTACTCATTTTATCTTTAGGGACTATTTGGGTGTCAATAATAATATCATTACTGGATTCCTGTTCCAGTTTATCCCACCCAATGTGCTCAAGAAATTTTGCACTAGCACTACAATAAACATGAGCTGTGCCTTGATTTTCTCTTTGGTAGTGAAAATGATGTGATTTGATTTTCATGTACACCAGACTATTGCAAGGCTTTTGTATTTTACTAATTTTAAAAAGAACTTTCCTTTTTTTAATTTGCTTTTGTATATATTTCTGGTCTCTTATCTATTTTTCTCTCTGATTAGATGGAAATTTTCTCTTTTGTTTCTACTTATTCTCTATCATGGGAAATATTATCTTAATTTTTCCTGTGGACATTTTGTTATCAACTTCTTTTGTCCATAGGAATTGCTTATGTTTTATTGTGAAAGTCCAGCTACAGTATAAAAGAAATTTAGATGATATTAAAAATGGAAGCAACAATAAAACCATATCAACTTAATCTCCAAGCCTTCTTGGAAGCTTTTGAAAAAAATGCTTTTCAATTTACAAGCTCTGAGTGAAAATATAGATAAAATGTTTAATGATTTAACAACAGTCATAAATCAACCTAAGGATGATACTCAGATACAACTAATACCAGCTAAATTAGACTTCCAATTGGATGGATTAGAAGTCAATTTGTTGTTGACAGAACTGAAGGAGAAAGAGCTTTGTTTGAGAATTGCAGGTCTGGTGGAGAAGGCTGAAAGGGGTATGGATTTAAAAGGGTTAGAGATGGCAATATGGATCAGGGATGAACTGGACTTTCTTAGGAAAACTGTTGGAGACCATGGAATAGACTTAGTATATTCAGTCAGAAGACAACAGTTAAAGAGATGTTGTGGCTCAACTGCCTAAAAAAACTTCTGAACAACAAGTGCTGCGGAAATACAACAGAAAACTATGACTTTGGGGAATGTGATGGAATTGTTGGTAAATATCCCAGTTATAATTTAAGGGAAAAAACGTTTATTATTAAGAATCAGTCAAAGATGGAGACATATTAGAGATTAGAGATGATGATTGCGTGGTCTATGGAAGTTTAGAAGCCATAGTGGACTTTCTGCATGAGAAATACAATAATAGATTGTTAACGGAGGACTTTGACTGATTCCAACACCACCACCCCGCCCAGTAAATAGATGGTAGGTCAAATTAGTTGGGCAACTATTGCTATAGAAGTTTATAGATTGTAGTCCTGTTTTGCAAACTATTGTTGAAATACATTTATCAATATTAAATTAGGGGGGCAATATACATGTATGTTTTTTATGAACATTTTTGGTCTTATTTAGTTTTTGCTTTGTTTGTTTTTGGTTTTTTTGAAATTTGTATTTTAACTTTGGAAATAAAGTTAAAATTTATAGTTAAAAAAAGATGCTGCATTCTGGATCAGTAACTGTTCTTGGATCTTAACATAGCAGTAACAATAGCACTTAGACTTATATACCACTCCATACAGCAGCCACTCTTTATATATATCACTCTTAAAAGCAATCTCTTACAGTGTCAGAATATTTCCCCCAACAATCTGGGTCTTCCTTTTACTAATTTTGGAAGGATATAAGGCTGAGTCAACCTCAAGTCCATCAGGATTGAACTCCAATCTGTGGGCAGAGTTAGCCTACAATGCTGCATTCTAACCACTCCACCACCAAACCGCCTTACAACTTTCTTCTTATCAGTAGGCTAGGACATATGTAAGATGTCCTTTCTGATAAATCTTATATTGATGTTAATGTAAAATATATATTGCCAGTAATGGCCAAAACTTCAAGATGAGATTTAAGTCAAGGAAGACCATTTTCCCAATGGAGGTAAATTTTAATCTAAGAACAAATACATAGAGCAACGGTTGGTCTCATTTTTTTTCAATTCTCATTACAGGGTCCCCCTGGGATACAGGGACCAATTGGACCCCCAGGGAAAATTGGCAAGAGGGTAAGCATAAGATACACGGATGGGTACCAATCTGTAGGAATGCCCCCTTTTCTCACTCTTTTTCTCCTTTTCATTTTTTTAAGGGTCGTTCAGGAGCTGATGGCGGCAGAGGACTCCCAGGAGAAACAGGACCCAAGGTTATCTAAACCTTAATTGTAGGGTAGAATGCACACAAAGGAGGGGAAGAGAGCTTTGAGATTCTCACTCCCATGGTGGTTTGGTCTTCCCTGCAATAGCAACACAATAGTGGGATGCAAATAGAGCTGAATCAAATGTTGTTTCCGCTTTCATGTTGAATTTGGCACATTCAGGAGAAATTTTAATCCATGCGGCATGCATGCCACGTGAAAATCCAACTTTTTCCCACTCGTATTTTGTGACTGTGGTCTTGGAACCCATTCAGAACTCAGAGGAACTCATGCGGGGAATTAAGAGAAGTCCCACTGAATCTGAAGTAGGCCCATCTAAGCCATCTAGTTTCCGATATTTGGCCAGCCAGGCATTCCACAGGTACAGAAACAGGGTAGGAAACCATAATCTTTCCCCGTTGTTGGTTCCTAGGATCTGGTATTCAAATATATAATTCCTCCCCAAACACAAATAATGTTTGAACTAGCTCATTGGCAACACATCTCCTTCACTGCCAAAGCCTTCAAAGGTAAGAATATAGAAAATTGCACAATTTGCCAACCTAACTTTCAATTTGTCAGAAGCTGTCCTGGATTTTGGTCTCAGGATACAGGAGCCTGAAACTGGAGCTTTTTGCATATTCGTGTGTGATTTATCATTAAGTCATCAAATTCTCCTGTGTAGCCTTAAACATAAAGGAGTGAATGTAGAGAATTCATTGTGTGTGAGTTTTGTGTGCACAACTTCCTCTGAGCAATCATTAAGTACTGGGATAAAAGAATCAAAAGCCTTGGAAAATATAAATGTTTTTAGTATTTATCAACTTGAAATTTCATATAGAAGTTGTAAGGCCAAACTGCACATAACCATAACCTATTTCTGAAGGCGACGTGTACCGCCCATATATATTGACACACATACACACGCACAGAAAGAAAAACAGAGAGAGGGAGGGAGGGAAAGAGAGAGAGAGATACACACACATGAATACTTTAGTATGTGGAATAAGATGACTTCAAACTTTTGTCCCTTTCATACCCATAATGCTTTCAATTTTCATTGCTCAAAAGGAAAAATGCAGAGGCCTATTCTTCCCTTCTCCCATCAGATCTTGTAAAAGCAGATCGATTATAATCTTTACAATGACAGGGATTAGAACTCTGTAGTATTCCATAAATGCTACAACTGAGCATCCTTTATGATTGTCCCTATAGAATGGGGTCAGTGGAAGTTATAGTTCAACAACATCTGCAGAGTCTCACTGCTGAGAAAGTAAATCAATACTATATTTAATTTCCTGCATATTGCAAAAAAGGGAAATGGGAGTGAAGCTTATGTAGTTCATCTGAATTGAAAGGCAAACCACAGAATTCCTGAATCTTATTTGTCTCAGCTGTTAGCCTCCAAGACATACATAGTCACAAAAATAGCAAATCCTCACCTCCGGTTTACAATCCAACAAATTTAAACCTCTTTTTGAATTTTCAAGTTTTGCTTCCTTCTAAATTCTGAAGCGCCAATGTTACCTATCAAAACATGGCAAATTGATCATCAAGACAACATTTTCCTCCCCTTCCTGTGCCCCATCATTCTGTGCACCTATTTTGGGGGTATAATTTAAAATGTATGTTCTTTAAAAATGTGTTTATTTTGTAGGATTACACTAAGGACAAAGAGCATTGTTGCAGTAAAATTAGGCATGCAAAACTATCTATCTCCTAGCCAAAAAACTGGTCTATTCTTGTCAATTCAGTACTTATCTGCTTTTTCTCCCCCTTTCTTATAGGGTGACAGGGGCTTTGATGGTCTCCCAGGACTCCCTGGAGAAAAGGGAAACAGAGTAAGATTACCCTAATATCTATACTACTGTCCTCTATTTAAGTTACCACCAACATTCACTCTTCACTTTATTGCTTTGCAGGGAGATATAGGGAAGCCAGGCCTACCTGGACCTCCTGGAAATGACGGTTCTAAGGTACACATTAATTCTGATAGAATATTTGTAGTGCAGGGTTGGACTGTGGATCCTTAGTACTATCTGAGCTTTATTGTTTTCTTGCAGATGTTTCATGAACAAACTAGGTAACATTATTAGTTGTAGTAAAGGAGTAGAGTTTACTTTCATTTTATATACTAGTTGCTCGCCCTGGCAGTGTTGGTGGGAATGGATTTAGTAGTTCCTTGATTGGGCTGTTGTTTACTGTTAGCTTGGCTGCATTAGTAGTTTCTTGATTGGGGTATTGTTTGCTTCTTGATTCTTAGACCAGCGTTAATCTTGGTGTTAATTTCTGTTCATCTGACTGCTGGTGAAGAGGTATTTATTTATTTATTTTATTTATTTATTTTGTCAAGTGATTATAAGATAATAGGTGTAAGTATAAACATAGTTATGAGTACATGAAATGGATACATATAAGAAAAATAAAAAGAAACAATAGGACAGGGACAGGAGGCACATTGGTGCACTTATGCACGTCCCCTACAGACCTCTTAGGAAAGGGGTGAGGTCAATAGTAGACAGTCTAAGGTTAAACTTTTTGGGGTTTGGGGAAGAAACCTCAGAGTCAGGTAGAGTATTCCAGACATTGACCACTTTGTTGCTAAAGTCGTATTTTCTGCAATCAAGTTTGGTGTGGTTTACCTTGAGTTTGTATCTATTGTGTGCTCTTGTATTGTTATGGTTGAAACTGAAGTATTCGTTGACAGATAGGACATTTCAATGTATAATTTATATACTATACTTAGATCGGACCGAAAGCAGCATAGTTCTAGGTTTTCTAGGTCTAGAATTTCAAGTCTGGTGGCATGTATTCTGCAATGAGTAGAGGAGTGGAGAACTCTTGTAAAATATTTCTGGACTTTCTCAACTGTGTTAATATCAGATACATAATGCGGGTTCCAGACTGATGAGCTGTATTCAAGTATTGGTCCAGCAAATGTTTTGTATGCTCTAGTTAGTAGTGTGATATTACCCGAGAAAAAGCTACGTAGGATTAGGTTAACAACTCTTAATGCCTTTTTGGCTATGTAGTTACAGTGGACTCTAGCACTTAGATCATTAGAGATGAGTACTCCAAGGTTCTTTACAGAGTTTGGATCATCAACAAGGACTTGACTATTCAGATTATATTTTATTTTCTGATTTTTTTGTCAAATGTAAGACAGAGCATTTTTTGTTGAGATTGAGTGCTAGAGCCCACTGTAACTACATAGCCAAAAAGGCGTTAAGAGTTGTTAACCTAATCTTATGTAGCTTTTTCTCTGGTAATATTACACTAATAACTAGAGCATACAAAACATTTTCTAGACCAATACTCGAATACAGCTCATCAGTCTGAAACTCACATTAGGTATCTGATATCAATACAGTTGAGAAAGTCCAGAAATATTTCACAAGAAGAGTTCTCCACTCCTCTACTCATTGCAGAATACCTTATGCCACCAGACTTGAAATTCTAGACCTAGAAAACCTAGAACTACACTGCCTTCGGTCCGATCTAAGTATAGTATATAAAATTATACATTGAAATGTCCTATCTGTCAACGAATACTTCAGCTTCAACCATAACAACACAAGAGCAAACAATAGATGCAAACTCAAGGTTAATTGCACCAAACTTGATTGCAGGAAATACGACTTCAGCAACAGAGTGGTCAATTATCTGAAATACTCTACCTGACTGTGGTTTTTTTTCCCCAAACCCCAAAAACTTTAACCTTAGACTGTCTACTATTCACCTCAACCCTTTCCTAAGAGGTCTGTAGGGGACATGCATAAGCGCACCAGTGTGCCTACCGTCCCTGTCCTATTGTTTCTTTCATATATTTTTTATTTTTCTTATATGTATCCATGTATTCATAACTATATTTTTACTTATACCTATTATCTTGTAAGCAATTGACAAATAAAAATAAAATAAAAAAATTTGAAGTTGCCATTTGTTTGACCATTCTGATACATAGTCGAGGTCTTTTTGAAGGGTAGCAGTATTGTCTGTGGAGTTGAATAGCTTTACATCATCAGTGAAGACAACACAGTTGCTCTTAATTTGATCACAGAGGTCATTTATGTAGAGTATGAAGAGAGTTGGTCCTAGAACACTGCCTTGGGGGACACCACTGTTGACAGGTACAGAATTTGATAAGGACGCTCCCAATTTTGACCATTTGTTGTCTGTTTGACAGGAATGCTTCTATCCAGTTATGCAGGTGTCCAGAGATACCATAAGATTTTAGTTTCAGGAGTAGTTTGTCATGTACCACTGAATCAAAGGCTTTACAGAAGTCTATGTAGATTGCGTCTGTTGCTTTTCCCTGATCAAATTGTGTAGTCCATATGTTTTTGCAGTGTAAGAGTTGCAGATTACAGGATAGTTTTTTTCTGAAACCAAATTGTTTATTAGAGAGTAGGTTGTTTGTCTCTAAGTGGAGGATAATGGATTGGTTAATAAGTGATTCCATGACTTTACAGGTGACGCAGCATAAAGAGATTGGTCTGTATTTTTCAACTAGGCTCGGGTCTCCCTTTTTGAAGATGGGGATGACCATGAATTGTCACCATAGGTTTGGCAAGGAGCTGGTCCTGAAAGATTTTTCAAAGATTATGCTTAGAGGTTTGGCTATGGCAGTGGATAGCTTTTTTAAGAAGTAGGCACATATTCCATCCGGGCCAATAGATAGAGATAGTTTTAGATTGTGTAGTGCTTTTTCAACATTGTCTTCTGTAAAATCAATATGTATTAGATCATTGTAGTTGTCTGTGGTTCGACTAGGAAATATTGGGCACGATCCATTTCTGTTTACAAATACTGAGCCAAAGAATGTGTCAAAGATGTTGGCTTTAATGGTGTCATCATTGCAGTCTTTACCATTAGGTCCTTTCAGGGGTGGGATGGACCTTGAGTCTTTTAGTTTGTTGTTTACAAACTTGTAGAAAGCGCGAGTGGAATTGGTGCACAGAAGGTTTTCCTCTTGTTTAATGTGATAATTGGTGCATTCAGTCTTTATCTGATGGCATAAATTTTTGTATCAGCTTTTGAAGTTGGCAACGTGACCAGATTTGTTTTTCCACCAAAGTGATCTTTTTTTGGATTGAAGTTTCCTTATTGTTATGGGTAATCTGTTTTTTCTGTTTTTGGGAGTTGTTATTGGTACATATATTTTGATGACTCTTTGGACTTCAAGTAAAAATATGTTGTAATGGTCTTCAACAGTATTGCATCCAGTGAATAGAGGTTGCCAATCAAGGGATGAGAGATTGTTGTCTATAAGATCATAGTTGCCTTTTTAATTTATAAAAATTATTATAAATTAAATTATAAGTTATAATTGGGGATCCCATCGTTATGATGATTTTTGTGTGGACGTATGTTGAGACAAAAGTCAATCATGTTGTGTTCACTGTTCTTTAATTTGTATTCTGTAAATTGAATTCAAACTATTGTAGAAGATGAGATCGAGGCAGTTGTTAAGTCTAGTATTGTTGGTTACTAGTTGTTCCAGTCCCAGATTTGTTACAGCATTGTAGAAGGTTGCATGTATCGGTTCAGTTTTACTTTCGTTTAGGGTCCAGTTAATATAAGGTAGATTGAGGTCACCAAGAAAGATAAAAGCCTGTGGGCAGGATGTTGCCTATGTTAGTAGTGAATTTAACTTGTTTACATGTTCGATGTCATAATCAGGGGCTCTGTAACGTGGTAAGTTAGGTCTTTTGGTTTCCTTTTTGGCTTTTTGATTGTCTCTTTTGAAGAGTATGTAAATGTGGATCTCTGTGTGCCTCTTGGTGGCTTATTTGTCTTGAGTACCAGGCTTCCAGGAATTCTCTAGCACTTTTAGACTTGTCTTGGTCTAGAATGCTCACAGTTTCCCAGTTAAAACTATGGTTAAGACTGTTGATGTGTTGCGAAATTAAGGAGTTTTCATCATGTCTTCTGATTGCTAATTTGGTCCCTGTGACTGCTGCAGTCCTTACAATATTATGTTGTAGATAACTTCTGTTTGCCTGGGGTTTCTGGGTCTTTTGATTTACTTAGGATATTTTGGAGGGTTTTGAATGGTTTCTGAACTACTGTATGATGATTGCATGTGGTTGCAATAGTCGGTTGGTGGTTTCTGAGATGTTTTTGATGTATGGCAGTGTTGTATTTTTCATGGCTTGTGTTAGCTGTGCTGTATTGGGTTAAGGGGTCAGTCACTTTTTGATGAAGTTTGCATGGGTATCTATTTTGTTGCAAGACATTGTATAGCTGCTCTGTTTCCTTTTTCTGATATTCAGGATTGCGTCAGTGTGATTGTCTTACTAACACTGATGATGTTAAGTAGTTTGGTAATGAGACATCAGCAATAAAACAGCCAAGCTCAGTAACCATAGATTGAAAGTGGGGGGTGAACTTTTAGATAAGGGGGACATTGTCTTGTAGAATAGTGTAGAACTCCAGTGTTAATTACTATTTTATACAGAGAAGATAATAAGAACATTTTTCTATGGATGGCTAAAGCTTCATGACTATCCTTGGCCAAACTGAGGTTACCATAAAAGCAGCTTCAAACTCCAGATTTTCAACTACACTGTATCAATCAGCTTTAGTTTAAATATTTTTTTTGGAATGAGGGTTTTTATGATTATTCATCTCTTTGGGCCTACTTTGAGGACAAGCATATAACATTATTGAAATCTTGGCATGTTTTGGAGTCCAGGTATTGTTAATAAGTACTGTATATTGGTGTTTAGCATTGAAAGCTATTAGGTGCATTTGGTCATTAATAAGTAAACAGTTAAGTTCTTATTCCAACTCACTTGATAAATTGATGTTATGGAATAAACCACATTCAAAAATAAAGGGAGAAATACTTTATTGTAATGCTTGGGCCAAACAAAGAATCCACACTAAATCAGGTTGCTTCTAACATTTTTAAAGATTTTAGAGATAGGATAGCATGTTGTATATGGCTCACCGCTAACATTTGTTGGAATGTATATAATTGAAATATGTATTAATGAAGTGTCTGCAAATATGAGATTCTTAAGTGATGTACAGCTTGGAAACTAACAACTCATTTTAATAAGTAATTAAATAGTAAGTTGAAAATATTAACAATATATCTGAAGAATTCTTATGAAGAATGTTGGTCCCATCTAGATGATACCTTTATATAACTTAAAAATATTTAAAATTTCTGGTTTTAAGGAATGGATCAAGGATACATGTTTCCTATCTATTTTTGCTTTGTATTCTGAAAATGATAATATTGCTATCTATAGTTATATGGATCTTTTGTTAGTTTTTGGGAACAGTTACTGTAGCTTATTTTAATCATTATAATAAGCTTACCTTTTTAAATCTTTTTTTCTCCTGATTCTATAGTTTTTTGTACTTCTTCAATTTATAAAAAGAAACATACAGACAGACCTAAATGTTTCAGATGAATGCACTTAAGTGTATTTTAATATAGCTATATTCAATCCTCACTAAAACTGGAGAATTCCTGATAGTCCTGCCTTAGGCATGAAATCCAGCTGGGTGACTTTAGGCCAGTCACACTCTCTCTCAGCATAATGCACCTGAAAGGGTTGCTGATGTGGGGAAAATATGAAGAAAAAGCAGGGGTGGGATTCAAAAATCCCAGCAACCAGTTCGCTGCCCTGTTGCTGGGTGGGCATGGCCATGGTGGGTGTGGCCTCCCAGAACCTCTGGGAGGGCCATTTTTCACCCTCCCAAGGGTTTGGAGGCTTCCCCCAGGCCTCAGGAAGGGCGAAAAAGGCCTCCCGCAGGCTCTGGAAGCCCTCCAGAAGCCGGAAATATGCCCATTTCTGGATTTCCTGAAGGCCTGTTTTTCGACCTCCCAGAGCCTCCATGCAGACCCTCCGTTTACCTTAATTGAAAATCGGCCGTGTGGAGACTCCTGGGAGGGGAGTGGCAGGGTGGACAGGGACAGCTGGTCAGTTGAAATACCAGTTCAGTGAACCAGATGAAATCTTAACATCTGGTTTGCCCAAACCAGTAGAATCCTACCCCTGGGAGAAAGAGTATTAGATACGCTTGCTGCCTTGAGTTATTGATAAAAAAATATTAAAGGCAGGATAAAAATTAAACAAGAACTACAACCATACAATATTTTAACTAGCAGTGGCCCTTTGGAAATGTAATGCCAACCTTTATCTTTGAGTTAGGTACAGATATTGCAGTAATCATAAACCACTCAAAATACCTTCCTAGAAATATAGAAAGAATGCTAGGCCTTCTGGATTAAAATGTAGTGATTATATTTCCCACTTACAATTGAATTTTCTCTGATGGATTTCTCAAAGCAGCCTCAGGTGTTTACTCATTTGGTATCCAGTATGAATGTATCATACCTGGAGGGGTAGGTGGGTGGAAAGATTCTAATCTAATACCTCAGTTTCTCATTTCCTCCTTGTTTTCAAAGGGCTCTGAAGGTGTTCAAGGGCCCAGAGGACAGCCTGGGGAAGCTGTGAGTATCTGTCTACCTACTAGGAATAAATACATTGGGTTTTCTGAGATCCATCACTCTAAGCCATTTTAATGGGGTAGTAACAGGTGTACGGCTCTCATGCTTTCTTCTTCAACGGAACCAAGTTTCTGGCAAGTGTGTTTCATTGAACAATGTTCCTCAAAGTCTTCTAATATAACCATCTTTTCTCCTAGGGTGTACGTGGTTTGCCAGGCTCGCGAGGTAATCCTGGTTCTTCCGGACAGACGGTATGAATTTCCTTCCATGTTCCCTTTTGTTCACGAGAAGGTTTGAGCAGGGATTGAGCAGGCAATAGGTTCAAGGAATGGGACAAATTTTAACAGGAAAAATGTTTATAAGTCTAAGTTCTCTTAAAGTTTTGGGATTTAATCTGAACATAACATTTAACTTTTGATCTCTTAGTTTTTGAATTTGCAATTAGGTTTTGAGTTCTGTTTATGATATTGCAGTATGTAATGGTGAAAGCTCTGAGTAGATATATTGTCTGGGTCCATATGTTACACTAAGATATATTTTCACTGAACCATTGTTGGTCTGATTCATATACATTGGTAAAGCAGTAATGCATGTAGATGGGTTTGCATATCATACAAAAAACCCTAAACAAATCATATGATTTAGAATTATCCATCACATTAAACTATACTTCATTTCATTTTTGTGTTAACATTCTAGTTTATTTATTGAATAAATGACAAATTCCTGAATTTGCATAGTATTCAAAGCTAATACCAAAGGACACACATTTCATTTAACTCAAGACCTGAATCTAGCTAATATAGACTAGTGTAAATTGTGAACCTACATGTCTGATCTTTTAATAATAGTATATTAAGAGTATATGGCAGACACCTCCTCATCCTTATTTTCCTCTCTTTCATATGACAACTTTTAACCATGTTGTAAAAAAATGTATCTGAATAAGTATCAGTCACAATTTGCCTATTCATTTAGTTTTCAAGCTTTACTTTTATATATAATTTCAGTACTGTCATAATATATATCATTAAGGTAAAGCATGGAAGAGAGGGGGAAATTATGAAGAAATGTTCCTAAAGCCAGAGCTAGATTTGGAAATAGACAACATTAATAACTGTGAAGGAACTAAGAGTCAGAACTCAATTTGCCAAAATAGATGTCATGCAGTTCTATCTATCCCTTCATATTTTCCAAAATGGAGACAGAATAATTAGGGTTAAAATTTTAGTTTTCCAATTTGGACTTAGAAAATAGTTCCATTTGATATTGTTCTGTACAAAAAAAAAATCTCCCTTTGATTTTCCTGATCTTCTTGTTTATCTCTCATAGGGTATTACTGGTATTGATGGTGTTCCTGGACATAAGGGCAACATGGTAGGTAAACATAAGGAATGGGGACTTTCCTTAGTATATGGTAAAAGGGTTGTTTGTGTATAGTAGAGAGATATGAATAACAAATGAGATTTAGGGAGGTGAGGAACATTGTTAAGTTATAAGGCTAGAAATGGCTGAGTACATGTGGTAGAAGGCTGAAGGTCTCCACACCTCAATTCTTTGCAACCTATATCTTCAGACCTTGCCTCTGTTTGGGGTCAAAGTTTTGGTATTGTCTGCTGTCACTATCTATCTTCTGAGGGGTGCCTCATCTGACATCCTTTCCTTCAACCTAGTGTATAAGACAGGAGTGTCAATCTCAAGGCCTGGGGGCTGGATCCAGCCCTTGAGGTGCTTAGATTTGGCCCATGGGCTTCCCTGGAAACAGCAAGGGATTGGCCTGCAGTGCCTCTGCCAGCGAAAATGGAGCTGCGGAGGGCTGCCTGCGGCCCTCCTGAGCTCCATTTTCACTGGCAGAGGATTGCAGGAAATCATTGCAACAAAAAGCGGAGCTCAGGAGCCTGTTTTCGCTTGCAGAGCTCTCAGCTCATCACTGGCGCCCCTGACAAGAGTGACATTGAACTGGCCATGCCCTCTGCCCCCCCCACCCGCCCGGAGGTGAAACACAACCCTGATGCGGCCCTCAAGGAAATCAAGTTTGACACCCCTGAGATAAGAGATATGGGGTCCTCATATCCTACATTGTCTTTCTGATGTCTAAAAGATAAAAAGTACAAAAAAATAGAGGTTTTAGCCTTCCCTTTACCCATTTCATAGTAGAGTTATATATCTCATAGGATTTAAAAGAATTAAAATAAAACTTAAAGTAAAATTCCACTCTACTCCACTCCACTTCGCTCCACTCTATTTTATAGGAAATATATACTGCTTTGTTAGAAAATAGAGTATTCCAGGCAAACAATAAGATGGTGTTGGTTTTCTACAAATATTTTTTGTCAGAAAGTTATTGATCCCAGAACACCTATGAAATAAAAATTTCAAAGAAGCAAATTTAAATAGTGGCTAAACTATGAATGAAGGCTGAATTGCACACAATTGTATAGCTTGTACAGAGAAGCAAAATCATTACATTTGGTGTAATACTACACTGAGAAAAAGAAAAGAACAATTTAATACAAAAATGAAACAAACAATTGAATGAATTTATTTCTACTGAAATGGCCAACAAATGGCCATTTCTGTAGAATTTCTTGGTCATTTCCAACCAAATCCCTTTGATGTAGTCTGCCAAGTTTGAATCTGAGGCTGGTGGGTGAAGATATTAGCAATTTCTACTCTCTGCCTTGGTTCACAGCTTTTTCATCTGGCCTACCTAAATTTTTAAAACATTTAATAAAGAGCATATCTTTTTCAAAAATATGGGGTGAGCTATTAAGCCTGTCTAGCAAGCAAGGATGATGTATTCACAATAGAAGAGAATATATGTTGCTCAGAGTTGAATTGTAGAGTCCTTGGTGCTCTCTGAGCATAGTTGTTTGCTTGCAGATGTTTTATTACCCAACTAGGCAACATCATCAGTGCATTTATAATATATAAATGTTAAACACCAAACTAGTATCCACTTTGATTTGCTGCTGTAATATTATGTGTTCATCTAATCTATAGACTACTAAATCTCTCATGCCTGTAACCTTTAACTGGGTGAGGCATGCCGTGCATCATAGGGGCAATCATTTTTGAATCAAGATGCCTCAAATGGGCCAACATGCAGGATGAATACAAAACCCGTGACTCCTGGCTTCTGTGAGAATGAAAATTGGCAAATTAGAGGCGGCAACACTGCCACATCACCACACCACATATTAAGTAAACTGATCCTGCTGTAGTCCTCCAGAGGCCAAGTAGACTGGAGTATAATCAGCCATGGTCAATCCTATAAGAAGTAAGAAGTTGCTCCTACTCCCACTACTTTTTTGTCCTTGGTCATTCTGTTTCTCTGTTTATGTAAAGAAATATGTCTGAAATGATGACATGACAGGTCATGGGTTGCCTAGTTCAATCTAAGAATCTTGTGAGAAGTTTCTTCTAGAGCAGAACCTGAGAAGATATCAATCTTCAAACCAGCCATTAAAGTTTGATCAAGTAGGGGGAAAGACTAAATTTTGATTTAAAGGTGACAAGATATAACACAGATGGAGTTCCAGTTTGGCAAGAATGTTACTGTCCTAATCCAATGTTAATTTTTTTAATAAATTGCTTTAATTGAAGAATGTAGCTCATCCTATCTTCTTTTACTGTATATATGTGCATCTTGTAGAAATATGAGGGAAGTGGCTGTTATTCATAACACAGTGGAAATGTGATGTGACAATTATGGCATATATAGGGTGGATTTAAAAAAAAAAAGCATGGCACTTTAATTCACGAAGAAAAAAGATATAATTTAAATATTCCAAGTTATAATGGAAAATTATATGTTTTAAATATTACTAGATATTAACTGGTTGCTATAACAATTAGCATAAATTAGTTTTCAATTAAATAGAATCTTCCTACAGCCATATTTTGCTCATATCATCCAATTCTTTTCCAGTACAAAACTATTCTACTTAAAATCAAGACAATCAATTTTATAATGATGGGTTTCTCTTTTGTTTTCGGTGTCCTTGAAAGGACATTTTAAGTACTGTCATTTGTTCTGAAGATGAAGTTATGTTTGTTCCTTCAGCAATTTAAATCTTTTGCTGGATTTGACATGTGACCAGAATATTTGAAATGTTAAAACTGATCTTTTCTTCCCTTTTATTTTAATCAAAGGAGAAACAAAAGGATATGGTAAAGAAAAATTAAAAATGCAGTAGATTGTAATAAGCATACATGTTTTTGAAATATCCTAAAAACAATATGCTTCTAAACTTTAGACCTGTGATAAGCACATCTGGCTTTATGTTTTCTCATATTTATTTTTTCAGTGCAACAAAAAATACAGGGAAGAAATTATGTAATGGGTTTCAAGATTCTGCCAGTATGTCTGTCCATCTCTCCATTATTAAGACTCAGAACAAAATCAAACAGGACTAAATTTTGTGTGTGGGAGAACCAATCAAAGAAAATTTGAATTGAACAATGGATTATATGGGGGGAATCTCTAATATATCCTTATGGGAGGGGCAGTTGGCCAGCAGCTTGGCCAACCCCATTCTAAGCCTGATGGGAAGGTCTAATAATTACCGTAGAATAGAATGAAAATAAATATTAATGCTTTTTCAATTATACTCTTCCATAATGAATCATGAACGTTAGTTTCCACAACAAATATATATGTGCAGTCTATATTCGCATAGAAAATAGAGTTTGGTTTTTTGTTTATACCATCCTACTTCTAATGATTCGCAGCCAAACTTTTAATCCTAGGAAATGTACTGCAAACAAACCCTAGACCCCAATGAAGAATTAAGAAGTAAGGCACAATACCTTAGCATCACAGTACTGGTTTCCCAAAAGCTTTAGAAACTGGATCCTGTTTCATTCTTCAAGTCTCTGCCCTTTCCACCTTAGTAATTTTAGTCATTGTGTCACAGCTGTTGTTGTCACTTCCATTATGACATATGTAAGTATGTATATGCACTGAATGTTGACTGACTCCAGGGTTCTCTATCTTCAGGGTATTCCAGGTGAACCAGGCCCACCTGGGCAACAAGGAAACCCAGGATCTCACGTGTGTATTTTTTTTGTATGTACATGTGGAAGGCTGGGATGTAGAGGGTGGGATAAAAATGAGCAGGTCATTTGCTGGTGAGTCTGTTAAAAAAAACAAGGGAGGAGAGTATTACGTGCATTAGAAAGATTTTTGTTACTTTTGTGAAATGTGTGGGTTAACCTTTTTTTCAATCAGTATTATATTGTTAATATTCTCCAATCTCCATGTGGGCTATTATTAACCCCAGGAGAACAGTTCCCACTGGTGTCTAATTTGATTCTGACTGTGAAGTTTATTAGCATCTGGGTTCATAAAGTGAGGACAGGTATAATATAAAAACAGTTCGGAAAATATCAAAGTGCTAACTTCATCTGACTGTGAGAGGGATGCAGATCAGCACATTGAATATTCATGTTACTTGTTTCATCTATATAAATGCAGGGTAAAATGCACCTAGTTAATTTTAATTATGCCATCCAAATAGATCCATATTTCTGTGTTTGATCATGAAACTTAGCATGGAAACCTTTTTAAAAAACTGGAGCATTAAGAGAGAGGCTAGTGCTGTGCAGTTCTTTGAAGAGTGCTTCACTTTTTTGATCATGGAAGTGAAACACTCCCTCAGAATTGCCAAAAGAAACAATATCATTCACTTGCATCTAAGAACCAATGAGGAAGCCATGTTGTCTTCTCTTGCTGCCCTTCAAGAACCCATTTCTGCCATCTCTCCAGAACTCATCCAATGGGAGAAGACTAAAATAAGTCTTCTTCAAAAAAAAACTGAAAGGCTAAGGAGCTTTCTACTGCTGTCCTGGACTAAGTGCTTTTGAGCTACATGCCTTCAACAAATGATATAGGATTGCCTGCACCAAGGACTGAAGATGACTAGCTTGGAATGTCCTTGGTGTACAGATAGTCCTCACTTAATGATGGCATTTAATAATTAGGACCAGCAACTCCATCGTTAAGCAACATGTTTGTAAAGCATGAACATTACATGACTGCACCAACTTAACAACAGCAGTTCCATCACTAGACAAATACCCTGTGTTTATTAGACACAGTGTCACTTGTTACCTTTTGCCATTTCCTGCCAGCTTCCTCATAGATTTTGTTTGTCAGTGGTGATCATTTGACCACAGGATACTGCAACATCATAACACTGAGCCAGGTACCAAGTACCTGATGTGACCAAGGAGACACTGTGTCAGTTACAATTATAAGGAACCATTGTAAGACTCCTCATTCAGTGCCATCAGAACTTTGAACGGTCACTGAATGAGGACTCCTTGTATGCAAAAGGACTTCTGGATTGGCTAGGTTTGAGAGAATTTCAGGCAATCCTAAAGCATTTACTCTGGGTCACTTGCAAAAAAACTGGTTAGTGGTTTAGAGGAAGCAAGCAGCACTCATCAGAGGAGAGAAATAATTTGGGGGAGGCATTGCTTGCCTCCTCTTTTGGTAAATGATATGTAGCAGGCATCATTTAGGTCACGGGTGTCACGTTGCCGTCATGTGATGTTTCATGATGTTTTTCCCCTTCATGGAGCTGGGGTGGGCATGGCCTGCACGTAACGCATCCGGGCCGTGAGTTGCCAATTTGACACCCCTGATTTCGGTTCTTAGAATGCTTAGTGAAAATTTGCGTAGTACAAATCTTCCAGTTTTACGTCACATACCAGAAGTAGGCAATTGAGTTCACTTCGCATGGCCAGATTTTTTTTTTTAAAAAAAAAAAGACAGTCAAGAAGCCATCCAACCCCGAAAATCTTCAGGCAACCCTGGGAGGGATGGCTGAAAGTAACTTTCTCTTTTTTATCGTATAAACTGATTTGACACAACCAAATTGCTATAGCAAAATGAATTACATTGCCTCTGCAGTGAAAACTATTTCATCAGAGAAAGAAATTAATCAATGCTCTGCAAATTTCTATACCAAATATTGTGGTGAGGGGGGTGTTCCATTAAGAATTTGTCCTTGCAGGGGTATAGATATATTTGAACTGAAATGACATTTCCTGGATAGTCCCAGAGCTCTGAAAACATTAAGTATGCCTTACCCCTACAAAATAGTAATAATAATAAAAACTCATTTCTCCACTGTCTTTGGTTTTTCTCCCCTAGGGCTTGCCTGGTCCTCAGGGCCCCATTGGGCTTCCAGGAGAAAAGGTGAGTTAGAATTAAGGAGTGTCCAGCTAAGGCGTAGAATCAGAACTAGGCTGAAAATCCCAATTTTCAGGGTCGCTGTAGCGGCAGGCATCAGAGTTCTACCACTGGGATCTAATGTGCACAGAATTTTGTTTTAAGCACCAAGATCAATCTGATTTTGCAGCATTTCCACCTAATAATTCTCCAAGATTTCTTTATTTCAGCTGTATGGTAGGAGAGGATTACATTTTGTTGCTGATTTTGTTTCTGTAGTTTAGAAGAAAATGTGCAGCTGTGTTCCTGTTATGTCAGCATATACGTAGTCATGTATTTGATAGAGGAGATGTGAGAACTGATAGGACTGTGTCACTTAATCCATTGTCACAGTGAAGATTTTTTGACCCAGCTTTCTGAATATCTCCCCACACTTTCTTCTCAAAGGGTCCACCAGGAAAACCAGGAATACCAGGACTGGCTGGAATGGATGGACCTCCGGTAAATGACAACATTATTAAAATCTTCATGAACATGGTACTCAAAGATAAAACTAGGACACTTTTCTTCTTTTGCATAGCAATAATATCTGAGGAGAGGTGAATGATGTAAATATATAGAGATCTACATTTGGCATGCTACACTGCTCAAAAAAATAAAGGGAACACTTAAACAACACAATGTAACTCCAAGTCAATCACACTTCTGTGAAATCAAACTGTCCACTTAGGTAGCAACACTGATTGACAATCAATTTCACATGCTGTTGTGCAAATGGAATAGACAAGAGGTGGAAAGCATAGGCAGTTAGCAAGACATCCCCAATAAAGGAGTGGTTCTGCAGGTGGTGACCACAGACCACTTCTCTGTTCCTATGCTTTCTGGATGATGGTTTGGTCACTTTTGAATGTTGGCGGTGCTTTCACTCTAGTGGTAGCATGAGACGGAGTGTACAACCCACACAAGTGGCTCAGGTAGTGCAGCTCATCCAGGATGACACATCAATGCGAGCTGTGGCAAGAAGGTGTGCTGTGTGTCTGTCAGCGTAGTGTCCAGAGCATGGAGGCGCTACCAGGAGACAGGCCAATACATCAGGAGATGTGGGGGAGGCCGTAGGAGGGCAACAATTCAGCATCAGGACCGCTACCTCCGCCTTTGTGCAAGGAGGGACAGGAGGAGCACTGCCAGAGCCCTGCAAAATGACCTCCAGCGGGCCACAGATGTGCATGTGGCTGCTCAAATGATCAGAAACAGACTCCACGAGGGTGGTATGAAGGCCCGACATCCACAGGTGGGGGTTGTGCTTACAGCCCAACACCGTGCAGGAAGTTTGGCATTTGCCAGAGAACACCAAGATTGGCAAAATTGCCACTGGCGCCCTTTGCTCTTCACAGATGAAAGCAGGTTCACACTGAGCACATGTGACAGACGTGACAGGGTCTGGAGATGCTATGGGGAACGTTCTGCTGCCTGCAACATCCTCCAGCATGACCGGTTTGGCAGTGGGTCAGTAATGGTGTGGGGTGGCATTTCTTTATGGGGCCGCACAGCCCTCCATGTGCTCGCCAGAGGTAGCCTGCCTGCCATTAGGTACTGAGATGAGATCCTCAGATGCCTTGTGAGACCATATGCTGGTGCGGTTGGCCCTGGGTTCCTCCTAATGCAAGACAATGCTAGACCTCATGTGGCTGGAGTGTGTTAGCAGTTCCTGCAAGACAAAGGCATTGATGCTATGGACTGGCCCGCCCGTTCCCCAGACCTGAATCCAATTGAGCACATCTGGGACATCATGTCTCACTCCATCCACCAACGCCACGTTGCACCACAGACTGTCCAGGAGTTGGGGGGTGCTTTAGTCCAGGTGTGGGAGGAGATCCCTCAGGAGACCATCCGCCACCTCATCAGGAGTATGCCCAGGCGTTGTAGGGAGGTCATACAGGCACGTGGAGGCCACACACACTACTGAGCCTCATTTTGACTTGTTTGAAGGACATTACATCAAAGTTGGATCAGCCTGTAGTGTTTTTTTCCACTTTAATTTTGAGTGTAACTCCAAATCCAGACCTCCATGGGTTGCTAAATTTGATTTCCATTGATAATTTTTGTGTGATTTTTTTTGTCAGCACATTCAACTATGTAATGAACAACGTATTTAATAAGAATATTTCATTCATGCAGATCTAGGATGTCTTATTTTTGTGTTCCCTTTATTTTTTTGAGCAGTGTACATTATGCCCATTATGTTTTCTCTTCCTTTTCTATTGACCGAATACACTTTCTCAGTGCAACTGTTTCCTTGTAGTGTAGTACCTTTAAGCAAGCATTCATAATGCAGTTACTTCACAAGGCTGTGTCTTCTATTGCTTTTCAGGGTCATCCTGGAAGAGAAGGGCCAGCTGGAGAGAAAGGAACTCAGGTAAAAAGAAGAAAAAAGCCTGATTCTGAAAGGCAGAAGTAAAGCTTGCTATAGAGGCATCTAAAGTGCATAATCTAGAAAAGGGTTTTCTTTTCCCCCAGTCCGCCATCTTCTTCCCAATGCAAAAAAAAATATAATAATCCAAACCCCAGAAAGTAGGTGGATTTAGGGTCTTTTAAGATTGCAGCAATGGTAGGGAGGGAGTCTGCCTGACAGATTTGTTTTAAATGTCTTTCTCCTTCAGGGTCCATCTGGTGCAGCAGGACCAGTTGGTTACCCAGGTCCACGAGGAGTCAAGGTAAAGAGATACAACTTTCATCATTTTGCAAGAATGAACATTTTGACTGAATTTTCCTCCCCTTCGAACCCCCCTTTTCTCTCTCTCTCTCTCTCTATTTAGAGCTTCCTTTTATTGACAGTCTATTTTTTATTATTTATATATTTATGAAAGCATTTATATATTTATGAAAGAACTGATACATAAAATAAACTAAAATGTAGTAAGATATGTTGCACCAGAGACTATGTGAAACAAAGACAAAAACAATCAAGATGGGTACAAAATCTTTTGATTCTGTCCCAGGGGGAAAAACTCCAGGTATTTGTAATGTATCTGAAAGGAAGATAGGGTCAGGGCCATCTGGGCCTCAAGGAGATGGTGTTCCATGGGCATAGTGACAGAGAAATGGTGTCTCCTGGGTCCTGCTAGAAGAAATTAGTTAGGTAAGGGGACCTGGAGCTCTATGGGACCTAGAGCCCCAACACATACTCCATTCTGTTAGATATTATGACAAGACAAAGTAATTGGAGACAGACAGTTCCACAATCAGACTCTGTTTCACTGAGAATTTATAGATAACAACTAGCATCTTGAAATTGTACCTGGAAGCCTACTGGTCAGCAACATAGCTTGCAAATTCTATACAAGTAGTCTTTGACTTTTAACTACAATTGACCCCAAAATTTCTGTTGTTAAGTGAAGCATTTCTTAAGTGAATTTTACCCCATTTTATGACTTTCCTTGCCTCAGTTGTTAAGTGAATCACTTGCAGTTGATAAGTTAGTAATGTGGTTGTTAAGTGAATCTGGCCTCCCCATTGACTTTGCTTATCAGAAGGTCGTAAAAGGGGATCACATGATCTTGGGACACAGCAACAGTCATAAATATGAACTAGTTGCCAAGCATCTGAATTTTGATCACATGACCGAGGGGATGCTAGAAAGGTCGTAACTGAAAAACGGTTGTAAGTCCCTTTTTTTGAGTACCCTTGTAACCTTGAATAGTCACTAAATGAACTGTTGTAAGTCGAGGACTACCTGTACTTGCGGTGTTAATGGATGCACTGAAATGTGCCCATAACTATTCCTGCATTTGCATTCTTTGAGTCATCTTCAAGGGCAGCTGCATGTAGATTTACTGCAATAATTCGTACATGAGACGATCAAAGCATAAAACACTGTGAATAGAGCTTCCTGGTTCAGAAATGGAGATAATTGCTGCACAAGATGAATTTATGCAAAGACCCCCCAAGCCATAGTTGCTGCCTGCTCTTAACATAAATGTCTAGGGAGATTCTTCATCATCCAGGTTGTAGTTGTTCCCAAAGTACTTTGTTCCAAATATGTTTTTCCTTTCATCCAAGAATCTTGAACTGAAGAAGCTTCTTGGATGAGAAACGAAATGTCTTCAAGGAAAAACAAAGTCCAGTTGTCTTTTGAAAAAAAAAGCACCTTTGGAATGTTCCTAACATACCAGCCATGAGTCTAGGAGGATCCCCCAAACTGAGCATGAACCCTGTTTGAGTTAGTGCAATCCCATCCAGAACAAAAGATAGAAACTCTCATGATTAAGGTAAAATCCACAGTCACTTGAGCTGGCTAAGGTTTGGTTTGAGCCTGTTCTCCTCCATCCAGACCTCTCCAGCCTCCAGAAATTGAGACAGAATCTCAGTGACATTGCTTGGCCAGCCAAGGGTTGAGAATTCAACCCAATGGATGATTTCAGTGAACAACCTCAGGTAGAGGCTAAGCAGAGGCAGGAAGGTCAACAGGAGGTATGCTAAAAGTCAGATGATGGCTGAAGCCATGCAATCAAAGCTTGCCCTGCCCTGAAGGTTGAATGCTTTTGTCCAGGGCAAAGAACTGGACTGCCAACCTTCAGAATTCAGTAGTCGCTGCTCGGACCTACCTTGGTATCTTTCTGTGTGATGTCATTCACTGCCTGTAGCTTTCTGCCTGTAATCATGGCTTCTGTATCAAAGTGAAGGTTTAAAGTTGGTTTATATATATAAAAAAATATTCTATCATTGTTTTCCTTTTCCATAGGGGGCATTTGGAATAAGGGGCCTAAAAGGCAGCAAAGGTGAGAAGGTAAGTCTCTGAAGAGAGTACAAGGCAACATCCGAGAAAGAGTTCCACAGATTTCATCAAATTTAAGAGAGCATTTCACTGCTTCTGCTTTCTCTGTGTTACTAATGTTTTATTTATTTTATTTATTTATTTTGTCAAGCGTGCATTATAATATATATATAAGTATAAACATGATTATTAATACATGAAATAGATACGAATAAAAGAGAACATTAAGACAGAGAGGGTAGGCACGTTGGTGCGCTTATGCACGCCCCTCTTAGAAATGAGGTGAAGTTAACAGTAGACAGTCTAAGGTTTAAGTTTTTGGGGTTAGTGGAAGAAACCACAGAGTCAGGTAGAGTATCCCAGGCATTGACCACTCTGTTGCTGAAGTCGTATTTCCTGAAATCGAGTTTTGTGCGGTTTATTGTGTGCTTGTGTATTGTTGAAGTTGAAGCTGAAGTAGTCATTGACAGGTAGGACATTGTAATGGATAATTTTATGTACTACGCTTAGGTCAGACCGAAGGTGGCATAGTTCTAAGTTATCTAAGCCTAAAATTTCAAGTCTGGAGGCATAGGGTATTCTGTTGCGAGTGGAGGACTCTTCTCATGAAATATTTATGGGCTCTCTCGATTGTATTAATGTCCAATATGCAGTGCAGATCCCAGACAGATGAGCTGTATTCAAGAATTGGTCTAGCAAATGTTTTGTATGCTCTAGTTAGTAGTACAATATTACCAGAGAAAAAGCTTCACAAGATTACATTAACGTGCTATTCTAGAACAGATCATGAACATTTAAATGGAGTAAGTGGAATATGTATTACATTTTTGACCTTCTTCCAATACAGTAATTATTTGCTGCATGCTTGATATCAGTGTTGAGGTTCCATCTGGTTGTAAACCCTTGAAAAGTAGGAATTTTGGATTTTCATGTTAGTTTCTAGATTGCAACAAATTAGAAGATACCTTTGGGAATGTAGTAACTTTGTTAGGATCAATTCACCCACACACCCAAAGAACAAAAATCTTTCAAAGGAGCAGGAAAATGTTTTGGTTGACATTTAGAGGTAACCTGGAAAATATTTTATAGCAGAGTTAAAATATTGTCCATTTTTGAAATGGATCCAAATTTTAGAATATCATTTCTTAATATAATTCAATAGGTTCATATTTGATTTTTGCAAATTTTCTTTTCAGTATTATCTTTCAAATTCTGACTAACAAATTATTTCTTCATAGTTTAAAATCCTTGTGTTCAGATAGTAAGCAATAACGGACAGGTTGATAGTCAGTTGGAGAATATAATTTCAGGTTCAGGCAGAGACATTTTAACAAGCAAATCTACTAGCCAAGTGTTTCTGTCTTTAGAAATATATGTTTTTTTTGGATGGGGTGGAATAAGAACAAAAATTACAACTGTAGATTTGAAGTAAAATGAATTTTGCATGTATGATTCTTTCTTTGTATTTCAGCATTAAAATAAGATTGACATTTTTATTATTCTCATGTTTTGACCTTTTATGGGTTCCTAGGGTGAAGATGGATTCCCCGGCTTCAAAGGTGATATGGGGCCCAAAGGCGATTGGGTGAGCAATACTCTTCCCAGTATTCCCAGTATGAAATATGTGTGGGAGCTTTGAAAAGAAGGCATGAACCACTACTGGGGCTTTAGAAATTTGTTCCTTATTGTTAGCATTGGTAGTAGATTTTATTAACAGTTTTAAATAGAAGATAAAACATTATAAAGAAAAAGGAAAAAGACAAAAGTACAAAAAAAGATAGAAACCTCCCAGTTCCTTTGTAGCAAATACAAGTATGATTACATAATTATCCCTTACTCTACATTTACAAAAAGAAAAGTTATCTTTTTAATATCGCCTAGTTATTTTCTAATCATAAAAAATATAAATCATTTTTTCTGTATCATGCAAAATGTCTGTAAGGGGTTTCCAGTCACCCATAACTGTAGATGTTTTCTTTTCTCTAATCAAAAAAGTTAATTTAGGTATCTCTGCAGATTCCATCATCTTCATCAACTATTCCTATGTTGTGGGTAGTGTCTGATCTTTCCACTTTTGAGCATATAATAGTCTTTTTGCATTTGTCATGTATAAAAACCAAATTTCCATGACTTTTTTCTAATTGCCTGTCCATTAATCCCAAAGACAAGCCTCTGGTTTAAATGTTACTTTAATTTTTAAAATCTTCTGAATTAATATATGTAATATGTATACACTTTTTTACTATCTCTACATGTCCACCATAAAATGTTCCTTCATGATATTCCCATTTCCAACAACAATTCAAAGTAGCTTTACACATTCTAGACAACTTCTTGGGTGACAAATACCGTATCATACTGATCCATTATTTTATAAAAATCCTCTTTCAGATTAGAACAGAGTTTAATTTCAATCCCAGCATAACTCCCCTTGTATTAATGGCAGTAAAAACCCCTATTTTCAGTAGCATAATTTTTTTGTGGAAAAGTAAGTGCATTAATCATGCAAGTATTAGGGTACCAATTTTACTTTTTAATGCTTATTTGGCAGCCTCAAAATACAATGGGTCATATGTCCATAACCCTCTTGGTCTTGAGGCTAAACATTTTTCTAAAAGGAAAAAAATGAAGCCTGTACCTATTTTAAAAAGTTGTCCATGCCATTTTTAGAATAAGGACAGGGTTTCTATATTCAAATAGTAGGAGGATTGCCTTTCTGAGATCATGTGATAACATAACAAATTATGTCATGTGATAAAATAAATGTTATGTGATAAAATGATGAAATAACAAATCCCACTGTCAACTTTCCAAGTACTGAGAGGCACAAAGGGATTAGGCCACTTCATGTCATGTTTTTTCAGTGCACAGAAGACTTGCCATAGGTGGCTTTGGGGTGAGGAGGTTAAGATTTAGAGAAGAATCTTTCATTCAAATTTTAGAAATCCAGAAAGGATTTTTCTTTGGGGAAAGTTTTTGTAAATCAGGACAGGGATTCTCCATCTCTGAGTTAGATACTATGATCTCTGTGGGTGCCATTTTTTATTTTTTTATTTTTTTATTTTGATTTGTCGCTTACAAGATAATAGGTATAAGTATATACTATACATAGTTATGAATACATGAAATGGGTACATATGAGAAAAATAAAAGAAACAATAGGACAGGGACGGCTTATGCACGCCCCCTACAGATCTCTTAGGAGAGGGGTTATCCATGGTGTGTATCTAGATTATATTTAAAATGTTTTGCCTGGGATACATTGGGATGTTGCCTCATAGGATGTCAAGTCTGATACATTTTTATTAGCTTCAACACAGACTTGTTGCTCTGTCCATTATGGTACTCCTCACTCACTTTAAATACAAGTTTAAGGATCTTAAAGTTTTTTTCTTTTGAAATAAAAAGCAAAATAGTGCTTAGAACTTTGATTCTGTAAAGTTAGAAATGGATTGGGATCCAGGTGGATCTGAAATAAAATTTTGGAATTAATTATAAAAATTCTTCCCATGGGAAACTGCTTTTGTTTTGAATTCTTTTAAAATATCATAGGATGGGACTTTGAAGGTTAGACACTAAAGGGAGCCAAAGGGAACTGAAGATTATAGTACAATTAAAGCAGAAAAACATTTAAATTTGACTTACTAATGCAGCATAGAGCAATACTTTAATATTAGAGGATATCTGTGAACAATGGACCAAAAATATAATTTTAAGAGGCTCTGCCAATTATAAATAGTTAGTTTGTGTTTAAAAGATTATGTGGAAGATGAACTTATTTAACCAGACAAGATCAAGACTGAACTGAAGCTGGATTTAAAATGACAGGCAACAAGAATGATATGGAAAAAGATGCTGCATAGGACATACAAATGCAATTGGTTGATGTCTTAATAATTAAGAGGCATATATAAAGAACAAACCAAAAGAATGGCTTGCATAACTTTCCCATATTGAATTCACAAAGGAGGTTTGTTAAAGTTTTGAAAAATTTTGTGTGAAGAGACAAAGAAAAAAGTGACAAGAAACCAAACCTTGAGGATATTATTAAGTGATTAAATATTAAGATTGTTAAAAGTAAAAGGCAGGAATATCAACGATTTCTTTGATCAAAATCGATATGCCATTATCTCTGTAACCCTGAATGGACCTTTGCTAATCAGAACTGAACAATGAGGCTTTAAGGATATATTATTATAAATGAGATGAGATATGGGAAAAAGAGATCTTTCTTTGTATTTACAGAGACAGCGTTAAGTTACTAAAATTGTTCATACTCATTGGGATGAAGGTGGCAGTTGTTTATATATTTATCTTTGTCTTTTTTTTATTTAAGTTTTTATTGGTTTTTAAAAACAAACATAAACAAACAAAACATAAAAACATCAAGCCATCTTCCATATGTATACATACAGTGTGCCGGTTGGTTTACAAATTGTTTTGTGCTTCCATTTCGTAGTCTTCAATTACAATTCCATTGCATATAATCTCATATTTTCAATCAAAAATTAAATCTTAGTATCATTATTAATCAATCATTTGACTATACTTTTATTCATTCATGTTTTACAAGATAATCATAATTTACTTAGTTTGTTTTATAACAGTTCATATTATCATCCCAAATCTATCCTAAAATCATTTTGTAAATATAATAAGAAAGAAGTACATCTTTATATATTTATTATTTTCTAAAAGTCTACATATTTCATTACTGTATTTTATTGTCTAACCATTGAAAAAATAGATCCCAAATTTTATAAAATTGTTTACCCTCTTGTTCTCTAATTTCAAATGCCAATCTACTCATTTCAGCACATTCCAATATTTTCTTAATGATTTCCTCCTGTGATGGTGTTTTCTCATTTTTCCAGTTTTTGGCAAATACAATCCTAGCCACTGTTAATATATTTACAATCAGATATTTCATCTCTTTACTATATATTTCAGGTAAAATTCCCAATAAACTCTGGTTTCAAGTCTATATGTTTTTTTTGTCATTTTTTCCAACCACATGTGGATTTTAGTCCAGTATTTTTTAGCATCCGCACAAGTCCACCACATATGGTAATATGAGCCAGGTGTCTGATGACATTTCCAACATTTTTCGGATTTGTTCTTGAACATTCTTGCTATTCTTGTCGGGGGGAAATGCCACCTGTAAAACATCTTATACAAATTTTCTTTATATGCTGTTGACATTGTCATTTTATAATTTTGAGACCACAATTTTTGCCATTTCTCTAAATCAATCCCATATCCAAAATTCTTCCCCCAAGCAATCATAGTTTCTTTAACTTGTTCTTCTAATTTAATTTCTAATAAATATCCATACAATTTTTTAATCACCTTTTCATCAGTACCTGTCAAAATCTTATCTAAATCAGTCAATTTATCATAGAAACCTTCCATTTTAGAATCTTTATCATACCTTGAATGTATTTGCGCATATGAAAACCAATTCATCTTTATACCTTGTTCCTCTAGTTTTTGTATAGATTTGAGTTCACCCTTTTCATTCAATATTTCACCATATCTAACTGTTTGTTCCTTTTTGTATATTATAGGATAAGAAAATGCTTCAATAGTCGATAGCCAGACTGGAATTTTCAAATAACATTGTCTTTTAATCTTCTCCCAGTTTAACCACAGAGACTCCCGTATATAATGTCTTCTAAAATACCCCTGTGTTTTAGTTCCTTTATACCATAAAAAAGCATGCCACCCCAACAACAAATCATGTCCTTCTAATGTCAACAATCTAGTAGTTCTTAGTGTTATCCATTCCTTAACCCACATCAGATTTGTAGCTTGATAATACAACTCCCAATTAGGCAAACCAAATCCTCCTCTAATTCTAGCATTTTGCAAAAGTTTTAACTTTATTCTCGCTTTCTTACCTTGCCATATATATTTCAACACAATTTTATTTAAATCTTCAAAGTAATCTTTTCCAAGCCTAATTGGAATTGTTTGAAACAAATATAAAATTCTGGGTAATATATTCATCTTGATTGTTGAAATTCTACCTATTAGTGACAGTTGTAAATTTTCCCATTTCGCCAGATCTAGGGCTATCTGCTGTTTAAGTTTGATATAATTATTCTCTTTTAGTGTACTACATCTTGCTGTCAAATATATCCCCAAGTATTTGATCTTATTCGTGACCGAAATTTTCAATAGGTCTGCCAGTTCTTCCTTTTGTCTTAATAGCATATTCTTTGTCAAGATCTTTGTCTTATCTTTATTTATTTTCAAACCAGCCACCTTTCCATATGTCTCTATCTTTTCTATCAATTTTGGTGCTGTTTCTAGAGGGTCTTCTAAGATGAAAACCAGATCATCTGCAAATGCTTGCAGCTTAAATTCTTCCTTTTTGATTTTCATTCCTTTTATATTCTTTTCATCTCTAATATTTCTGTTTAGCACTTCCAAAGTTAACACAAACAACAAAGGTGATAGTGGGCACCCTTGTCTTGTTCCTTTTCTTATATTGATAGAGTCTGTCAGTTCTCCCTCTATCATTACATTTGCTGTTTGCTTATAGTATATAGCTTCTATTGCTTGAATAAATTTTCTAGCAAAGCCCATCTGTTCCAGCAGTAATAACATGAATCGCCAATTCACATTATCAAATGCCTTCTGTGCATCTAGAAATATCAGAGCCATTTGTTTTTCAGGATGTGCCTCGTAGTATTCCAAAGTGTCCAAGATTACTCTCATATTATCTTTAATTTGTCTCTGGCAGAAATCCATTTTGATCAGGATGAATAAAATTATTTAGATTTTTTTAAGTCTTTCTGCCAATATTGAAGCAAAGATTTTATAATCTGCATTTAGTAGAGAAATACCGTATTTATCGGCGTATAACACGCACTGGCGTATAACACGCATCTTCATTTTAAGGGGGAAATTTCAGGAAAAAAAATTTAAAAAAATTCTGCCTGCCTGCCTTAGTTTCTGGTTGTTTGGGAGCAGCTTCGGCTGAGAATAATAACTATTCGCCTCTTTTACTCAGCCGAAGCTGTTCCGATTCAACCATTAACGAAGGCAGGCAGGCAGGCAGAACGGAGCACTGCGGGCGGGCGGGCGGGCGGACGGGGTGGGGGTGGGGGAGAGGCGACAGGAAAAGCCCCCCCCCCGCTTCTTTGAAGCAGTTTCTTCCTGTGCTGGTGGAGGAGCGAGAGAGCAACTGAGAGAGCTGACCCAGAGAGAAGGACAGGCTTCGGTTGCTTCCTCCCTCCCCTTCTTTCATTTGTGTCCTTGATCCCCGATCCCAGCAGCATTCACCGAAGGCTTCTTAACATTATATCGGCGTATAACACGCATACATCATTTGCCCCCTATTTTCAGGGGGAAAAAAGTGCGTGTTATACGCCGATAAATACGGTAGGTCTATAGTTCTTAATTTATAATGGATCGGCCTCCTCTTTTGGAATAAGTGTAATATAGGCTTCTGACCATGATTTAGGTATCTTCTTCTTTAACATAACTTCATTCATAACTTCTAGCAATGGAAGATTCAACGATTCTTGTAATGTTTTGTAAAATTCTGCCGGAAGTCCACCTGGGCCTGGTGCCTTTCCATTATTTTGCTTCTTGAGTGCTTCAGTTAACCCCATCATCGTTATATTGCTTTCTAACATTGTTTCAATCTCTTTAGGTATCTGAGGTAAATTAGCATTCTGTAAGTAGTGTTTAACTCTTTCCTCATCAATATTCTCTTGCATATATAGTTTCCCGTAGAAGTCTCAAATGATTTCCTTCTTCTCTTTACTATCATAGCAAACTTGGTCTTGGTCATCTGTTAATTGCAATATTTTCCTTGATTCTTTCTCCTTTCTCAATTTGTATGCTAACCATCTACCTGGTTTGTTTGCGTCTTCAAAGTAGTTCTGTTTAGCACCTCTAATTTTCTGTGCTAATTCTTCTTTTTCTATTTGACCCATTTTATGTTTAACTATATCCATTTTTAGCTTGATGTCCTTTTTCTGTGGCATTTTCTGTAGCTCTTTTTCAAGTCTTTTATACTCATCCTCTAGGGTCTTAGAGGCTAATCTTTTCATAGTATTTCTTTTCCTTGTATAGTCTATTATCAAGCCTCTAACATATGCCTTCATTGTATCCCATACACTCTGAATTGATGTATCTTCTTTTTTGTTTTCTCTAAAGAAAAAAGCCAATTCTTTCTCCATCCACTGTGAAGTCTTTTTTCCTTTAAAATAGTATTATTTAACGTCCATCTAGATCTTCTTTTTTGTCCTTTCCATTTAATTGTCATTGGATTGTGATCTGCCCAAGTACTTGTTTCAATATTTATTTCTTGAATATTAGTTATTAATTCTGTTGACATCCATATCATATCTATTCTGGACCATGATGAGTGTCTATTTGAATAGAAGGTGTATTGTTTAGTTTTAGTATTTCTTTCTCTCCATGTATCTTTTAAGTTTATTTCATCTACCATTTTAAAAAAAGATTTAGGGAGAGTCTTTCTGTTTTGCTTTATTGTTTTCTGTGCTGTATAGTCCAATTTATTGTCTACAATTCCATTAAAATCTCCCATCATAACTATATTAGCATAGTCCAGTTCAATTATTTTCATATGTAATTTTTTGTAGAATTCTTCTTGTTTGTCACTCAGGGCATAGATTGCAATCAGGAGTTTTTTCGTATTATTGTCCATTATTTCCACCATTAGTATTCTTCCATCATCATTGGTATAAATCAATTTTGCTGGGATCGTCTCTTTAATATATAAAACCACTCCTCTTTTCTTACATTGTGTCAAGGAAGTAAATATTTTCCCTAGTTTTGGCTGTATCAACAATTGTTCATATTGTTTTTTAATATGTACTTCTTGTAGACAAATTATATCAAATTTTAATTTCTCTAATTTGTGAAAGGTTTTCCTTCTTTTAACAGCTGAGTTAAGTCCATTTATATTAATTGTAATCAGTTTTTTCTCTTCCATGGTTATATGTTGTAGTTAGGTTTAGCAGCTCTCATAGATCTTGGTTCATGTTGTTCTTTGGCTTCCACCTTTCCACCTACTGCACCTTCTTTTTCAATCGCCATTTGGCAGTCCTCTTGGAATTCAGTTAGTGAGATTTCTTTTTCTGCCTCTTCCTCTTTCCCTCCAAAAAATTCTGTATAAAATAATTCCGCTTTCTCAATTGAGTCAATTCTATGTCTCTGTTCTTGCCATGTGAACTTTAAACCTTCTGGAATCAGCCATCTATAATTCACCTCTTTTTTAAGTAGCATTTTAGTCAAGAATCGGTATTCTCTTCTCATCTCTCTCACACTTCTGGGTATTTGTTTCAAGACCACAATCTCCTTGTCTTTATATTTCAATGTGTTCTCTTTTGCCGCTTGCAATATTTGCGTTTTAATGGGTTTCTTTGTAAACCTAATGTGAACTTCTCTTGGTAAGCTATTTCTCATCGCATATCTTGTGAAAACTTGATAAACCTCATCTATTCCATCCATCATCTTCTCTTGAGTTATTTCCAAAGCTTCAGCCAGTATTTCTATCATTATCTCAGCTGAGTTTTGTCCTTTTTCTTCCTCTACGTTTTGGAATCTAAGATAGAATTCTGATCTATCCATCTCCCATCTCAACATACCACTTTTATCTTGTTCAACCACCATTAATCTATTATCAATATCTCCAATCTTCTCGTCTCTTTATTTCCTTCTTCAATTTTTTGGAATCTCTAATCATACTTCAACATCATTTGTTGGATGTTCTCCACTTTTTCATCAGTTTTTCCTGTTCTTTTTTCAATGTTCTCTATTCTTTGTTCAATGTTCTCTGTTCTCTGTTCTTTGTTCAGTGTTCTCTATTCTCTTTTCAATATTCCCTGATCTTGCTTGAATATTTTGAATTCCTTGCATAATCATCTGCAGAGTCACTTTTTCTTGTTCTTTTTCTTGCTTTAACATTGTCTCTGTAACCCTGAATGGACCTTTGCTAATCAGAATTGAACAATGAGGCTTTAAGGATATGTTATTATAAATGAGGTGAGATATGGGAAAAAGAGATCTTTCTTTGTATTTACAGAGACAGCGTTAAGTTACTAAAATTGTTCATACTCGTTGGGTTGAATGTGGCAGTTGTTTATATATTTGTCTTTGTCTTTATTATATTCTATTTCTGCTTACTTTCCTATTTTTTTCCTTTCCATTTTGTCCTTTTAGTTTTCTTAATCTGTATTAGCTTTATTCTTTATAATTGTAATTCTTAATAAAATTGCTGCATAACAAAGAAAGAAAAAATGATGGGTGGGTGAAAGGTCACCCTACAATATTCCCATTAATTGATGATTCCTTGCAAATGGCCTTGTGTGACTGAATTCTTTCTATATAGTCTTTTCATGTTCATTCCCATGAATTGGCAGAACTTTCCTTACTTTCCTCTTTTTTTCTCTGAGACCCCTGTACATTAAGCTACACTGCACTGCACTGCACGCACGCACACACACACACAGTAAAATTCCAGACTGCCTAGGATTCATTTCCCTCTATCCCCCATCTGAAATGATGAATGAAATTATGATTTATGGTGAGTATAGTTTATTTTAGTGTCAATAGCTGGTGTATACACTCCATTGTAACATTCTCAGAAATGACGGCAGTCTGAAGTACTGAGAATTTTATAGCTGTGATTAGCACAATTCTTTTAATTCTTTCAACAGGGTGATGCTGGCCCACTGGGCATACGGGGTGAAGATGGCCCCGAGGGGCTGAAAGGACAGGTGGGACCTACTGGGGAAGCAGGTCCTTCTGGCCTAGCTGGTGAGAAGGTGAGCTTTGGAACATAGGAAGCTATTTGTCTGTTCCCATATTGATCACCCTGGCATTCAATAGCTCTCCAGGTATCAGGCTTCCTCATTATGACCATCCTCATTATGATCATAAAAGAAGAAATAAATCAAACTTGGGATACTTTAGGGCCTTTGCTATATTACTACGTTGCAGTCCCACAGATTAATTGCGGCAGGAATTTGTTTAATTCTTTCTCTACTCACCAGGGATTGTTTAATTTCATCCCTGGGCACATGTAGGTTCTCATCATCTCCTTTTTTTTCTGCAGGGCAAATTGGGTGTGCCAGGGTTGCCAGGTTATCCTGGCCGCCAAGGACCCAAGGTAAGCAGTTGGGAAGAGCTGGAGGAAAGGAAGAAACCTTGTTCCAACCTATCCTGCCCTGTCCTCAGATCGGATTATTTTTCCACAGGGTTCGACTGGATTCCCAGGGGCCCTAGGCCTCATTGGAGAAAAAGGCAAACGAGTGAGTGAAACTGGGAGAGAAACAGGAAATATCCTTTGAAAGAAACCATGAGAGGTTTCTTGCAGGTTACAAAGATGGGAGAGGATATGGGAAGAGAGAAAATTCAACGAAAGGGACTGCAGTGGAAAAGGAAGTATGCAAACCTTTTTTTTGAAGGTGCCAACTGCAGTGTAAGCAAAATGATTATTCCCTCATCTCTCAGAAATGATTTTGCAGTCTCTTCTGGAGGAGCAATTGTCAGGAGCACTTGTGGGCAAACTTGGGTTCTCTCCTTGTCCAGAAAGCAACAAATGGGACTGCATTGCAGCCTGGATCTTGTTTCCACTTACAAAATGTAACTGCATCAGGATTTGGAGGACTGTTTGTCCTCTATCCCTTGACACATTTTATTGATTCATTTCATTTGCTACAGCAGTGCTTTTATTTGCTAATGCTCGCACTTCAGCATGGATCTCAGCAAGGAAGCACAGTCTGAGAAGCAGGATTACCCAATTACCAGCTGTTTTCACTGAAATGAATCTGAGAGAGAAATGGTTGTCTGCTTTCAAATATTCCTGTCGAACGTGACTTTCTACTTTAGATTTAAAAGAATAATCCAGTTTTGTATGGTTTTTTTTTAAAAATCTCACTTGTTAGGAAAAATGTTAGCAACCATAACCAAGGGATATAAAATAGACACTTGCATTAATTTTAGACAAATTTAATTGAACTTTATAGTTTAAGTGTCCAAATGTTTAGTATTTGGCAGATACGTTTATAACAGTGCTTAGCATTTTATTGTACATTTTAACTTTAGATATACATTTTGGTTCTTCTGTTAATGGACAATGGTGGTCATTAAAGTCCAAACTAGAGGTAATGTGAGATAAGGGGACATCTGAACATCTCTCTGTAATGTCCCATTTAAGCCTGGTAACTCTCTGTGTGTGGACTCACTGAACTCCATCTTACCCTCCTTTTCTGTTTTCCTTCTTTTCAAGGGAAAAGCTGGTCAGGCAGGGCAGACTGGACAGCGTGGGCCTCCGGTGAGCTTTCATAGAATAGATGCTTATAAAGTACCAAAGTTTCTCCAAAGAGACTTTATTTAATACTTATCAACCAAGATGTATGCTGGCGAGAAGTGGCCCTGTGTTAACATTTCACATTATCTCTCTCCACTTCCCATAACTGAAGAACAAATTACAAGGATGCAAACATCCTGATGAGAATATTGAGACAGTGAAAAAGGGATATAATGAAAGTGCAGCACTCTAAGCCCATCATATTCCTTATATGATGTAGTGAGTAGCCCTGGGGAACTGCAGCATCTTTTCTGTCTTTCACAGGTCATAACAAGTATTTGTAATGTTGTTCTTCGCTCTGAATAGAGTAAAAGAGGTCTTATATTTTCTGGAAACCCATTCTAAGGACACTGCTCCCTGTGAATTTGGTTATTTTAAAAATGACGTCTGATAGTAGCAAGATACTGATGGCTTAAGAATGGACAAGGAGAAGGGGCATCACCTTAATTTTGTAAAGTAATATGGGACTGACACAATTAAATATCATAGTTGTTGAATTGCCCATATTTATGTGTCTGAAGGATAGGAGAAGTATCTCTTTGAATTTCACATATTTGGAGAGTGCTTTTTGTTGCAATTCCCCTGCCCTTTGCAAAAACATGATTAAGCTGAATTTTCATTAATATTTCTTATCTCTTCCCTTTCTCCCATAATATGCCAATAAATGTAGTAGCCATTTGGGGCATATCCATTATAAAACTCAAATTAATTCAAAGAAAACTTAATTCAGATCTTCCAAATTTGAATTTGCTTGCAAAGATTTGAATGTATATTCTGATTTGTATGCCCTCACTCAGGGTTCTAATTATATTATTAATATTTCTATAGATGGAAAAATCAGGGAGAGGGGAGAAAGCACAGGAATGTATTAAGATTAAATGGACTATTCCAATGGGTGGCTCAAGCCAGAAAGCAGCAAAAGAAAACTTCATAGATATAAAAGTCATTGAAATATCACACGCATCCCTCCCCCGATTAAATTTGGGATTAAAACTCTTAATTTTACTCCTTTTTGCATTGCATGTTTCACTGGAATGAAATGAACCAGATGGTAGTTGTGAAAAAGTGAAATTTTGCCTTTAATCTGGGTCATTTGTCTTTGGTCCATAGATAATTTCTCCTGCCTTGAATTTGCTTCTTTTTCCTTATTGGTTCAATCTATAGGTAGATGACATGTGCATGAGGCTGAATCATTGCATAAAACAGAGATGTTACTTATAGTGTTATGTCCCTCTACTCTACTTCTACTTGGTACACAATTGTTGAAATAAGAGTGAGGGATGCTGAATTCTGGGAAGCACTCAGGGCTTTGCTGCTTAATAAATTACCCCTATCCTAATGCTAATCCATTTCTGTTCTGGGATCTAGGAAGCCTAGTTCAGCTCCAGACTTCAGTTTATAAACACCAATCTGAAACTAATCTCCTTTCCCATTTTAGGGTATTCCTGGTGAACGTGGTTTGCCAGGACCTACAGGGAAACCGGGATCAAAGGTATGTCTTTTCTGTACAATGTGTATGGCCTTTTACATTTCTCCATGCATAGTGCAGGATATGTGTGTAATCAGTTGTGGCCAGTGCACAGCCCTATTCATCATTTGCTCTTTCAAATAAAGATTTGTAAAAATTAATTTTTCTTGGATTATGTCAAATGGATTTTTAAAATATACTCTTGGATATATACTGTGGGCCTGGCTGTTTTGATCCTTACCTACTTACCACATTTTGCAAAATTATATCACTCCATTAGAACTGAAATTGTCATTATGCATTAAATCAATCTACATAGGCAGCTATAGGTAACTAAATTACATTTTATTTTATTTATTTATTTTGTCAAACAATTATTAGATAACAGGTATAAGTATAAACATGGTTATAAATACATGAAATGGATACATATAAGAAAAAAAGAAACAATAGGACAGGGATGGTAGGCACGTTTTGGTGCACTTATGCATGCCCCCTACAGACCTCTTAGGAAAGGGTTGAGGTCAATAGTAGACAGTCTAGTGTTGAAGATTTGGGGTTTAGGGAAGAAACCACAGAGTCAGGTAGAGTATTCCAGACATTGACTACTCTGTTGCTGAAGTCGTATTTCCTGCAATCAAGTTTGGTGCGGTTTATCTTTAGTTTGTATCTATTTTGTGCTCTTGTATTGTTTTGGTTGAAGCTGAAGTATTCATTGATAGGTAGGACATTGCAATATATAATTTTATGTACTATACTTAGATCGAACCAAAGGCGGCATAGTTCTAGGTTGTCTAGGTCTAAAATTTCAAGTCTGGTGGCATAGGATATTCTGCTACGACTAGAGGAATGGAGGACTCTTTTCGTAAAATATTTCTGGACTTTCTCAATTGTATTAATATCAGATATGTAATGTGGGTTCCAGACTGATGAGCTGTATTCAAGTATTGGTCTAGCAAATGTTTTATATGCTCTAGTTAGTAGAGTGATATTACCGAAGAAAAAGCTACGCAGGATTAGGTTCACAACTCTTAATGCCTTTTTTGGCTATGTAGTTACAGTGGGCTCTAGCACTTAGATCATTTGAGATGAGTACTCCAAGGTCCTTGACAGAGTTTGTGTCATCAACAAGATCTTGACTATTCAGCTTGTATTTCATTTTTTGATTATTTTTTTTGCCAATATGTAAGATAGAGCATTTATTTGTTGAGATTTGAAGTTGCCATTTGTTTGACCATTCTGACGCATAGTCGAGGTCTTTTTGAAGGGTAGCAGCATTGTCAGTGGTGTTGAACAGCTTTACATCATCAGCGAAAAGAACGCAGTTGCTCTTAATATGATCACAGAGGTCATTTATGTAGAGTATGAAGAGAGTTGGTCCTAGAACACTGCTTTGGGGGACACCACTGTTGACAGGTACAGGATTTGATAGGATGCTCCCAATTTTGACCATTTGTTGTCTGTTTGACAGGAATGCTTCTATCCAGTTATGCAGATATCAAGAGATACCATAAGACCTTAGTTTTAAGGAGTAGTTTGTCATGTACCACTGAATCAAAGGCTTTACAGAAGTCTATGTAAATTGCATCAATTGCTTTGCGCTGATTTCCTCTTGTTTAGTGTGATAATTGGTACATCCAGTCTTTATCTGGTGGCATAATTTTTTGTATTGGCTTTTAAAGTTGGCAACGTGACCAGATTTGTTTTTCCGCCAAAGGGATTTCTTTTTGCATTGGAGCTTCCTTATTGTTTTGGGTAATTTGTTTTTTCTGGTTTTGGGAGTTGTTAATGGTACATATAGTTTGATGACTCTTTTGACTTCAAGTAAAAATATGTTGTAATGGTCTTCAACAGTATTGCATCCAGTGAATAGAATTTGCCAATCAAGAGATGAGAGATCATTGTCTATAAGATGTTGCCTTTTTTGAAGTTATAATTGGGGATCCTGTCGTTATGGTGATTTTTGTGAGGACATATGTTGAGACAAAAGTCAATCATGCTGTGGTCACTGTTGGAAAAGGGTTCATTAATTTGTATTCCGTAAATTGAATTCAAACTGTTGCAGAAGATGAGATCGAGGCAGTTGTTAAGTCTAGTATTGTTGGTTGCTAGTTGTTCCAGTCCTAGTGTGGTAACGGCATTGTACAGGATTGTGTGAATGGGTTCAAATGTACATTCATTTAGTTTCCAATTTATAAGAGATAAGTTGAGGTCACCATGAAAAATGAGAGGGTGTGGGCAGGAGGCAGCCCATGTCAGTAGTGAAGTTAACTTGTTTGCATGAATTATATTATAGTCAGGGGCACAATAGCAAAGTAAGAAGCGGATTGAGATGTTTAAGGACAGTTCACAGATGATGATCTCGGGAAGAGCAAGCTCTTGTATAATTTGGATCTTTTTTAGATTTAGAGACTTTTTATAGAATATAGCAACTCTACCACCTCTACGGATTTCGCGATCTGACCAAAAAACTTGATATTCTCTTCTAGTGGTAATGGAGTCTGGGAAAGATGCATTTAACCACGTCTCACAGACAAATATAATGTCAAATGTAGCTGAGCTTAGAAGGATGAGGAATTCATGCATTTTATTTGTGAGGCTTCTTGCATTAAATAGTTTGCATTTAAGATATGAAGTAGTGGGTCTGGAGGAAGTAAGGGGCGTGCATCCCTAACGTTGGATGTTTGGGTGATGGATATTGTGACGTGGGTTGAGGCTCTTGGTTTTGGTACAGTCAGCACGGTAATCAATATATAGATTTGTATTACCTAATTCATGTAATCTTTTGAGCTCAGAATGTAGCTCCCAGGATCGTACATGTTGCTGTAAGGTTAGATCAGGGTGAGAACGAAAGTTCTTATGGTTGTTGCTCTTTGCAAGTGAATTTATTGAGAAAATGAATTTGCGTTTGCTTGTTTCATTTTTGCAAACAACCCTGCAGAGGCGTGGGATCATCAAGCCATCTTTGTTTTTAAGCTCAGGACCGACACGGGAAATATCAAGTATTTCTTCAGGGGAGATGCTTGATTTTCTCTGATGATGTTTCGAACATTAGAAATGTCATCATTGTCATTGACCTCTAGACCAAATAAGATGGCATTTGGTCGCTTCCGTTCATGCTCAACAGCTTCTTTGATGAGGATGGGGATATCAATATTTGTAGGATTTGTTGTTTTTTGTGGATTGGGTTTTGGTTGCAGTTGTTGAGTAGAGATATGGTTTGTAGATGTTTGATGTTTGTTTTTTAGTACTGTCTCTTTTTTTTCAAGGTTTGCCAATCTAGTTTGTATAGTGTCCAGGGATGCTACAATGGTGTCAAGGGATGTTGGTGTCAAGGGATGTCAAACATGTATGTTTCAATGGTATCAACTCTTTCAAACAGGGTAATGTATTTAATGTAGTTTGGGTCTGCATGGCGGACAGAAATATGGAAAAGCATTGGCGGATGTTTTTCGGAATAGAGCCATTTGCTTGGGTAATCCTAAGCAATTATGGTGAGTGTAGTTGTTACAATGAGAACATTTGATGTAATCTTCATTCTCCTTTAAAGATTCCTTACATATAAGGCAAGAGCAAGAGTCTTGTGGTTCTTTAGTAGGGATTTCTTTCTTTTTAGGTTGAGGTTTGACATTGGATTGTTTTCCTGGCATGGTGGGTTTGTTGAGATGGTTTGTTGATTAGGTTGTTCAATCAAACAAGGTATTATGGTAATCAATAAAGTAATATCGTGCCAAACAGTCTATTATACTAATCACACTAATCAATTAATTTAACTAATCAATAATCACTCTAATAATTAATTACACTAATCAATAAACTAGTCAATTAATTGTCCGAATCATTAATTTGCACTAAACATAATAATCATACTAATATTCAAAATAGTTAACCAAACTAATCAATAACCACTAGTCTATGATAATCTATAATAATATATTACTCACTAATGATAAATAATTGTAAAAATTAATTAATCATTTAGTAAGATCAGTTAATCAATTAAACAGAGTTATATTGGGAAAAATTAGGGCAGGAAGAGAATAATGGGAGGAAGAGGAGAAGATTTGATTTGGATAGTCCTGGGGGGTATAGGAAGAGGGCATATATTAGGTTGGAAGTATAGATGAAAGTCTTTTGGCAGAAGGTTACTCTTTACTTGTTTCTTCAGATCTTCAGTTAGTGATTTTTGGGAACCAGATCTGTCTTCACACGGATCTTCTTGTCTTCGGGCATATATTAGTCTGAAGGTAAAGATGAAAGTCTTTTGGCAGAAGGTTAATCTTCACTCGTTACTTCAGATCATCAGCTAGCAATCTTAGGGATTAGGTCTGTCTTCTCACGGATCCCCTTGTCTTTGGTCAGCAATCTTAGAAATTAGGCTACTGCATGAATTAGCAGGGCTGCGCTCTGAGATCAGGACCTTCGATGTGGGATTTGACGATCGCAGATGATCGATGATGAAGGCAGCAGTTTGGGCAGCAGTTTTACTGGAAGGTTAGTGCTCTGGGATCAGGCCCTCAGCCATTGGAAGTGCAGCGGTTGGAGCTCTGCTGTTGATCGAGGCTCCAACGGGTTTAGGGCTACAGCGCTCCCTTAGAAATTAGGAGCTTCAGCTCCTCAGGATCTCCAGTGCAGGTGATGGTTTTATAGGTTTTTATAGGTGGGAAAGGCTCCAACAGGCTCTGGGCTACAGCGTTTTGAAGGAAACAGTAGCTCCAGTGCTCTGGGATCCCCGGCACAAGCGGTCCTTCAGGGTGGCCACAAGGATGGCAAGCGCTCCCGAAACCGGTCCTCAGTCACAGGATTGGGTGATTTTTGCCGATAACTGATGCAGGTGGCGACCTAACAGAGTCTCTTTTGATCAGGGATGAACAGCAAATCTTCCCACGATCAACTATTTATTTTAATCAGGAAGGGAAACGGTAGGGGCCCACTCGCGATCAAATGACCATCGTAGCAAGAGCCTCACCTTGCTAATTATACACCGCCATCTTCGAATCCGCTACACACAAACATTGTATAGATTGTTCATATCGTGCATTTTTATCCAGAGTTGCATGATTTCATTTTTAACTGGTCCCACACATTAAGACTAACACTATTGACAAAACCATCCAAAAGCCCACCAGAAACAGAATAAAACACTAATTTCTTTGTTTGTTGGAATGTTAGCATGTATGGGAGAGGCTGATATATGTGTCTTATTTATAAAATCTATCATCTACTTCCTAAAATGCCAGTTTTCCTACAAATAGAAAATTTGCAGTGTAACTTGACCTGATACTGTCTGAAATGGTATTTTAGAAACTCTGCATTATGTGATATACCTGACTTTGTAGATGAATAGTAAAACTCCTAGGCTCTAATGATCTTTGCTATTTGCTGGTTTTTGTTCCTCCTGCTGTTTGTTGTTAACCCTTGCTGTTAAATGTATTTAAAATCTGGAATGGGTTTTTTTTTGTTCTTTAACTAATATTTCTTCCACCAGGGTGACTCTGGCCATGATGGCTCCCCAGGAAATGTAGGAGAAAAGGTAAGAATAAGATGAATGATCAAATCCCTGCAAATGAAGGTCATCTATGGTCAGCAATCTTTGTTCTTCCTCTGGTAAAAGTGTGTCTCAGGAAGAGAAGTTATGACATCATAAAGGCCATGATATCTCTGAGGCTGTTGAAACCATGGGAATGTCTTCATGAATCCAACAGTCTCAGAAATAGCATAACCTTTATGATGTCACTGGTTCTCTTCCTGAGATACACTTTTGCCAAAGCAAAAATCTCCACATAAACAGTTCCTTTATAGACTATGGGAAGAAGAGCTGCAGAAATTTAGATATTTACAATGTGATAAATGTGAGAGTGGGGAAAGCAGAATAGGAAGCTAAAATATATCAAAGTATTTTTTTTCTTTTTCCACAGGGGCCCAATGGGCCACAGGGGTCCAATGGATTCCCAGGATCAAAGGGACCGCCAGTAAGTAACCCACTGTTCCTTTTGCAAAAATTTCTATTTAACTAGATGTAGGAAGAGGTAAGGATCAATATCCCATAAAATAGTTGTGTATGACAGAGTGGATTGTATTTTTTATTGTTACAAACTAGCTAATAAAAATTTACTGTTTGAATTATGCATGGGGAGAATGCAAAGCCCAAGTTAAAAATACATTGTGTATTCAAAGACTTAAGTAATCAATAGACATACTGTTCATTACAGGCTACCTATAAGTAAGTAAACTGGTAGGTGCAGAATTTCAGTTTTGGTGGTATTATATTTTTACTTGCAAAATGAAAGAGCTTGAGTCTACTTCAGGGGTGGGATTCAAAAATTTTAACAACGTGTTCTGTGGGCATGGCTTAGGGCTAATGGGTGTGGCTTGTTGGTCATGTTATTGTCTGGGCGTGGCCAACTCAATATCACTCACATCGAGGCACGCATCTCCTCGCCTGGCGTCTCATGACTGTGGGGATGCTGCAACAGTCGTAAGTGTGAAAAAATGGTCATAAGTCACTTTTTTCAGTGCCATTGTAACTTTGAATGGTCACTCCACACAAGCAAAGTACCAGCAAAGGAGGGAAAACAACTCCAGAGAAATTCCTGAGACAGGAAGTCTAGTCCTGCCAAGAACATAATAAGGGTTAATGGAGATGCAGTTGCTGTAAGCAACACCAGAATGTTTCCTTCCTGCCTTCCTTACAGGATTAGGCCCAGTAATTTCTTCTAACAACCAGTTCTCCGAACTGCTTAGAAAGTTAACAACTGGTTCTAACGAATAGGTGCGAACTGGTAGAATCCCACCATTTGCTGCAAAATGGTGGTTTGGACAATTGGTTGTTGACACAATTGGGATTATAAAGTTGGATGTCTGCCTGCCTGGGACTACAATTGCTTTTGTAAGGTATACAGGATACGTAAAGCTTCAGATACCTAAAAGATTACCACCAGTGTCAGATTTTGCAGAATCCAAAGAATGGCATTTGAGTTAAGGAAGCATGTTTGAATCCTGTTCCTTTATTTATTTTTTCTTGCCATAGGCATTCATTTTGACCAAATTAGTTTTACCTAAAACATGTTAATTGCATAAAGAAGATGAAATAGCATAAAAATGTGGGGCATATTTCTATCATAACAGTTTAATAGCTTGACATATTCTTTTAAAGCTGCCTGGAGGGGACCAGGTGGCAGAATTTATTATTAGATCTTCTTTAATCTTCTCTACTTTTCAGAGCTATCTTATTCCCATCTCAGTCCCGGTAGGGGAGCTCTGGAGGGCAGTCCTCATATTTCAATCTCTTCTCCCATGTTCATGATCAGAACACTTCAAAAAATGTAATCCTTGTTTGCTTCTTGAGCACATGCGATATAGATTTCACAAGCCCCAAATTTCCCAACCTTTTTTTTTATTATATATATATATATATATATATTGCAATCTTAAAACAATTTTATTAGGTCTGGCTCAGCATGGCTATTTATCTATACTGCATTGTGAAATACATTTATTTAAAACAGTAGCATAATAGATTATACAGAGCAGTTGCAATTGTAAAACAGACCAAGTCTTCATCCATAAACCCAATACAAATTTTTCTTCAAAGGGTCCAGTATGTATATATGTATAGAATATCTTTGCATAGACCACAAAGGAAGCCTTCTAAAGCCTTGTGTTCTCCATACACATTAAAGGAGAATTCTCATCATCCCTACTAGCATGGATAATTTACATTGCTGGAGAAAGTAGGGCATTAGGATAGGAAAGGTGAGAGAGATAGGTTGTGTTCAAATTTTGATAAACAAACAAACTGCTTTAGGGAAATTTCTGTGGCAATGATATGCCCATTGATTGGACAGGAAACACTTTGGATCATGGTTCCATTTGAAGTATTAACAACATGGATTCTTCCAACAAATCATTGCTAACAGAAGGATTCTTGTCAAAAATTATTGTCAAGGTAATAAGATGGGACTGTTTCCCATCACACCCTCATTCTCCTGCAACATTTCCTGCCATCCAAGCTTATCTTTGTCTCTCCTTTTTTTAAGGCAACTGGTGAACCTCTAAACGTACTGCTGAGTTGCAATGATCCACTATTTACATCTTCTAGAACTATGCTTGGAACTCAATTCTATTCTTGTAAATAAAGATGATATTGGAAGCAGGCAAACTCAGAAAACAAGAATTTCTTGTATTTCTGGAAAGAGAAATTCATGAAAGCCTGTCAGAACAGTTCTCTAAATTGATTAAAGTCTAGGAAAATGTTAGTTACTTTGAGCCTCTTTCTCCTGTCCTCCCCTCCTTGGGTCAAAAAATCTTTTCTATAATGGCCCAAGTCCCCCTTTTAATATGTTTGCTCTGCTTCCTTTTCTGTTTCCAGGATCTATTAGATATTTCCTCATAAAAGCTGCCATTTCCTTTATAGTATGCCAGTTTTCCCATTAATTGATTGGTTTAGAAGTAGAAGAGTTACAAATAAATAAATACTGAAGTTGTGAAGGAACGATCCTGGCAGGCACCATATTTAGTGCTTGAACACCTACCACAATCTGTAAAAAAAAACAATACGATTATTTCTGTTTGGAAGGGTCCTGTAGGAAAAGATGGTCTACCAGGACATCCAGGCCAGCGTGGTGAGCCAGTAAGTATTAATGTAAATTTCTCTCAAGGTTGATTGTTGCCATGTGGTCTGTGGATAACTGCCTCCTTTTTTGTCTTGTTCTCCTTTGCTGATTTCTTGCCTTGGTAATTTGTCTGGCTGCTTTCTCTTATATTTCCTTAATGGGCTCAGCATTCTATTGTTGACTCACCAGAATGATTTTCGTTTCTCCATGAGATGAAGGAAAAAATGTCAGTCACACCATTTTCTCTACACATTCTAAGGTGATCAGTCCTAAAAACTAAAATAGTCAACTGGGTTTCAGGTGTTGAGCATTGCATTTTGAGCATCCCTAATGCTGAGCATTGCATTTTTACTTGCCTTATCTGATACAACTCTTCAGATACATTGGACCAACACTTGAAGTTCCCCAATGAATTTGGTTCATGGTCCCACTGGAATCCTCAAATTAATCATTGTTGGGAATTGTTAGGCTCCTGGATGAGTGAACCATGAGGGAGATCTCCATTGGACTAAAATGTCTTCATTTTAGATAATAGTCTTCCTTTCTCTTTTCAATAGGGATTTCATGGCAAAACTGGCCCACCAGGGCCAACAGGAGTTGTGGGGCCACAGGTAAAGAGGTCCTTTAGTTTACGTATTCATAATTAAAATATGTATTCATAATTAAAACTAGGCAACCTTCATTGAGATACCATCCATGTTGCTAAAGTAGCAGTAAGACCTGATGACATGTGCAAATCTGATGTAGAAAATTAATAATATCTGTTTGAATTTAGTAGATACCATGCATGAAAAATATTCCAGAGTTTCTATCTACCACAGTTAGACATGCAACATTTCTTAATCAAAGGGCCATATTTGATCTCTGAGTGGGGACCCACTATGAAAATTGCATGATTATGTTATTGTACACTTGTTGTCTTGTTGACATCATTTGTTACAGATGTTGCAAAATTAAAGTTAAGTATAATGATCATTTCTTATGTATTTAATATCCCCATTTCTCTCACATTAAAAACTACTGGGGATACAATATCCATGCGCTCATTCTATCCTTTCCAATTCTGAGAATTAAAATAAGTACTGAACTAGAATTTGGGAAGCAGTAAACATAAAGAAGTAAGTATTAGCTAAACATTAGTTAGTACTTGATAACAAGCAAGTTATCAAGTTGGTCTTGATTGGCTGGCAACATTGTGTTTCCTGCATTGGAGGCTTTTAGTGCGGCTTGGCTCCGAGTAAACAGACAGCTATCATTTATTAGGAAGCTAGGTTTCATCTGAGTGCCTGGTTGGGGTGTGTTTGAGCTGGAGGTATCGGGGGGCGGGGTCTGTTTGTGCCCAGGTGTTTGCCTGGCTTATGGTGTGGAGATTTTTTTGTTTGTGAGTGCAGGCTTCCAAATGATTGACAGCCTGGTGGAATCATCTCTTCTATTCATGCTTTCAGGTCTTTTTTCAATCTCTATGGCTTCTCTGATAATTCTGTAGCTGGGGTTTTCTATAGTGGCTAGGGTTTTGGTGAAGTCGATGCTATGACCTGTTGCTTTTATGTGTTGGACTAGTGAGGAAGTGTGTTCCAGCTTTTTTACTGCATTTTTGTGTTCATCCAGGTGGGTACTTATTCTTCTGTTGGTCTGTCCAATGTATGTGGCTGGGCATGATGCACAGGGGACTTCATATATGCCTTGGTTTTCCAGGTCAATTTTATCTTTGGGATTTCTTAGGATGGCTGCTATTTTTCTGTCTGTTTTGAAGGCAGTCTTGATGTGATGCCTGTGTAGTAACTTACTGATTTTGTCTGTAGTACCTCTTATGTAGGGCAGGACAGCTGTTCCATAGGTCTGTTCATCTTCTAGGTCTCCATTATGTCTCAGTGTGTTTTTGTGGATCAGGCCAGTGATTTTGCTTTTGTGGAAGCCATTGGCTGTCAGTACTTTAGTCAGGGTGCATAGTTCAGTCTTTATGTGTGTCTTGTCTGCCAGGCGTTTGGTTCTGGCAATTAGTGTTTTGGCCACGGAGTTTATCTGTGCTGGGTGGTGGTGGGATTGGGTGTTGATGTAGCAGTTGGTGTGTGTTTTCTTCTGTTATATGGTGTGTCCTAGTGTGCCATCTAGTTTTTTGTAGATTAGTACATCTAGGAATGGTAGTTGTTTGTTTGTTTCCATTTCCATGGTGAATTTGATTTTTGGGTGTGTGCTGTTTAGGTGTGTTAGGAAATTGTTTAGGTTTTCTTTTCCATGGGGCCAAATAACCAGAAAAAACCATTCTGGCACAGCAGTAGGCTAGCACCAAATTTAAAACAGAAACGGCTGTGAAAGTCTGACTCACAGACGAACACAATGCAGAAGCCTGATGATGGCAGATGAGATTCTGCTGAAACGTTGCTACAACTTTAAAAGCACAATTATAATGATGTGGGAAAATACCCGAACAAAGCTGAATACCATACATGTAAGTATCTGCAAAAACTTAAGAAAACATATATATAGTATAGTCCATGTATATAGGAAGAAGAGATTATTCTTATTATGGTCTTCTTGGATCAATAAGAAGATGCAATGGAAATATCAGTTGAAGTCCTTCAAATGCAGGATGAATGATCTGAAAGATGACCCAGAGCAATACTTTTATAGTTATGTCTTTAACCTCCTCTCAAAAACATTGTATCTTCTCTACAGGGAAACACGGGGGAAACTGGTCCTATGGGGGAGAGAGGCCACCCAGGCTCCCCTGGTCCTTCTGGAGAACAAGGCCTGCCTGGTATTGCTGGTAGGGAAGGTGCCAAGGTGAGCACTAGCAGGTACCATAGTCATAAACAGGGATTGAGGGCAGGTGAAAAGGAAAGGATTTTTCTAAATGCTGCCAACTGTCCCTAAACCAGTATCAGCATTGTCTTAAATGGATTGCCACATATACATCTCAGAAGAGCTGCATTTCAGTCCTAAGGCAATAACCATTCTGTATTTTTGTCATGTTCAATACAAGGATTAAGAGCTTGTTTATGCAACCTTCATTCCACAAAATCCTTTGCAATGGGACCATAGCAAAGCACATGCTGATCCATACATCTGGGTCCAGTAACTATAGAAAACAATTGATTTGTCTAATGAAATCAGCTCACATCAAAATTATTAGAAGTAACTGTACAGTAAAACTAGATCTTTACTTCTAGGGTGATCCTGGACCTAGTGGCATCCCAGGCATTCCAGGTCCTACTGGAATTAGAGGCTTCACAGGAGCCCGTGGTCCTGTTGGAGAGAAAGTAAGTGTTCATGAAGATGGATGGGAAATAATGTGGAACTTAATAGTTATGATGGGTTGTGATGACTTGGGGCACGACACAAAGGCAACGCAGTCAATTAATCAATAAGAGTTCCTTTATTAGCTCCAACTTTGCCCCCAATGTCCTGGTTACCTTCTGGCTGGAGAAAAACTCTCCCAGGAACAGCCTTTGTCTGCAGAGAATCAAGTCCAAAATGTGGTCAACAAAAACTGTAACTGTAAGTCCAATCAAGGTAAAATGAGGTCATTAGTTTGGCAGGGCAAGAGCAAGAATTCCAGATGTAAAGACACGGCAAAACTCAACACGGTTGGAAAGACGCCAAGGAACACAGATAAGCAAAGTCAACACAAGATAAACTCACATTTGCTCCCAGTAGGTGTGGCTAATGAAGGGAATTAGGGTCCTTTCCTCCGCCGTAAGCCATACAACCCATGTTGCTCTCTTCTCCATTCCTCCCTGCGTGCCCTAGGACGATGAGGGGGTGGGCCTGGGTCTTTCTCTGAACTTCCTCTCCCTTGTCCTACCTCTTCCCTGCTCTGCCCAGCTGGACTTTGCCCTTCCCCAGTTTCCTCCACAGCCAACAGAGCTACACTCCCACTCCCTGTCAGCTGTTCATCTTCCTCCTCAGATTCAGACTCCGACAGGGGCACGACAGGTATAAAATAGAAAAAAGGTCTATGCTGTACTAGGCTAATTTAATTTAACTGGGTTATTTGGCTGCAACCACCATGGGCCTCTAATTGCAACTTACTTGAAATGAGTAGCAAGTCATGCCCTTGTTGGAGTCCAATTCTGAGGGGGAGATTGAGCAGCTGACAGGGAGTGGGAGTGTGGATCTGGTGGCTGTGGAAGAAATGGGGGAAGGGCACAGTCCAACTGGGCGTTCAGAGGAAGACCCAGGGCCATCCCCTCTTCATCCTAGGGCATGCAGGGAGGAACGAAGAAGGAAGCAACATGGCTTATGGGAAAGGAAAGGGCCCTGATACCCTTCATGGGCTGCAGCTGGGAAGACTGTTTAAAAGGACAAACTGTGCATGGCAAAGTTGCTGGAAGCAAAGCGTGCATTATCTTTGTTGAGGCTCACCTGGGTTTTGGCGTCCTCCCAACTGTGGGTGCTGTGTTATCCTTTGGAAGTCTGCAATTTATCATCCTGGCCTGTTGTGTTAATTACTTCAGCGTGGTTTGTGATGTTGTTTTTTTTAATTTCTAATTATCTTTACTTTGGGTTTGGACTGCATTTCTTCCCTTCGTAGACTGTTTTTAGAATAGTTTGATCTCCAGCCAAGGATAACTCAACATTGGGGGCCAAGTTGGAGGCATTAAAGGGAATTTATCTACTTTGGTGACTTTGTTATTTTTGTGCCATGCCCCGGGTCATCACAGGTATTGTGTTGCTATGTCTTGGGTAAAAGATTCCATGGATCAATTTCCTTACTTTTATTGGACATATCATGCTAGGATAAATGAGCCTTTGGTCTGTTCCTGCCTGCATGTGTGATCTAAAAGATCCAATAGAAAACGAGAAAAAGAAAAGAAGGGAACATGAAATGATCACATCTCCATGGAAAATCATCTTCTTCTGTTTTACTTTCTATCATAGGGACCAATTGGGCTGAAAGGAGCAGAAGGGCCACTTGGTCCAGCAGGCTCCATGGTAAGTAAGCTAGTATTTCCCCCTAACATCAAAAGAAAGATCAGACTTTCATTGCACAGTGGAGAGAGGGGGTGTGCAAATAATACTCATTATCAGTGAATTGAAGACACCCTTACTGCAGCAAGATAGTCTTGGAGTCAAATTCTTGGTAGTGATGTTGCAGCCTAAATTAATTAATAGCAAATATTAATCAAAGGAGAGGTTTGCATTAGAGATAACTTCAGATTGGAGAAATGGGCTTCATAGATTTATTCCCTCCTGATAGGGTCCTCCTGGGGAGCGAGGTCCCTCTGGAGCAGCTGGAGGCATTGGACTTCCAGGAAGAGGGGGTAATCCTGGACCACCTGGACCTGCAGGGGAGAAAGGAGCACCGGTATGTAGAAGGCACTGTTTTGCCATTAATGATCAATTTTTGAAATAGACATTACAGTTCAACACAGATCTTACCCTAAAGAGCGGGTGAACTAGAACTTAAATAAAGGAAAGTCATCTAATGAATGCTTATTATAGCCTATTCCAACTCCCTGATGTGTTAGACTACAATTCCTTCTCTGTGATGGGAATGTATCTCAGTTTGTTGGAGAACATCAGATTGGGAATCATGGCTTAGAGAGAATTTTAAGATGAAACTATTGGATCCAGGAGTTGAGTAATAAAACATCCTTAAGGTCTGATTTTTTTACTTCCAATGCAAAGAGGTTCTTTGCTCAGATCCATAGGTGGCATCACTTGCTCCATCCTGGGTCTGGTTCTATCCATTATAAGATGGTATAAATTCAGCCTAGCTTTGGACATTGTGCATAAAACCATGCCTTCCCTCTTATTTCATCATTTTATATTTTAATCTTTTTGATGTGGAACAAGACTTTGCATTTCTAAATGCAATATGCAAAAATTTTCACTTAGCCAAGTTTTAATTAAAATCTAAAAGAGCGTCACTATCAGATTAAAATACTAATAGGAAAAAAAGTGTTCCAGATAAAAATGGATTTAGGGAAGCCAAATAGGAAGAATGAATAATAGTATTAAAAAGTTTTCCAGATGCTCACTCCTATTATTGAGAAGTAGTACCATTATGTTAATACTTGCTTTATAAATTGCCAATTGCAGCACTTTAAGAAGCAAACTGTCCATCAGAACAGGACGACACATGAAACAGTGGCACTTATACAAGATTTTGTCTGTAATTGACTGGTATAAACAATGTCAAAGTCAAATCTCAAGATTTGTTAGACTCAGATGTGCTCATTAGGTCCCAGGCTGATTTGTAAAACTTACTACAAGTAAAAATGAAAGGAAGAAAACTTGCCATTACTGTCCTGTCCTGATTATTTATCTTTTATTCCTAACATAAATTAGGATTATTAATTGACTGGTTGCCAGCAACCTAATTTTTATATAGCTTTGTGGCCACTTTGAGAGTTTTGTATCAGCATCCTCTGTGTGACATAACTCAGATGTAAATTTGTATGTCTATACTTTGTATATAACCTGTGAATTGCAATGGATCTTTGATTGCCAGTATCTAGTTGGTTTGAAAATTTAGAACTGAGAATTCTACAGAAAGTTTATTCCCAAAGTGTGTCTAATTAAGGTATCCATTAAACTGCAGCATCCGCTTTTCTGTGCATAGTGAAAATTCTTTTTCCATAACGGACATCTTTATTTGACCATGTTTTTGTGTTCTTTTTCCCAGGGTGATCGAGGACCAATGGGTCCATCTGGTCATGATGGAATCCCAGGTCCAGTGGGGCTTCCAGGCCCAGCTGGGCCTCCAGGACTTGCCGGAGAAGACGGTGACAAAGTAAGGGATCTGCATTTTGGAGGAAATAGGAGGTGTAGTGGATCCATTCGATTACATAGACCTGTTTTTGTTTCCTTGGCAACACATGGCTTGGCAACAACTTTATTGAGATTTTCCTAGCAATTATTCTATAGCTGTTTTCCTTAGCCAAGACTTTAGTCAGTAGGAGAAATGTTCCTGATAATAATTGCTGCAGTGATGTTTTCTCTATTTTTTTTCTGTCCTCTGTCTCTTAATGTATGTGTGTATAGGGAGAAATGGGTAGCCCAGGACAGAAGGGAAGCAAGGGCGAGAAAGGAGATGCGGTGAGTTAGAAGGAGATTGTTCAAAGGCTTTGATGAAACTTCTAACAGTTGCCCTTTAAAACTACTCCCACATTTGCTTACCATTTCTTTAAGGTTGGACTATTGAGATTCCTTTAAAAGATTGGAAAACCAGGAATTCAGCACCAGGAACAGAGAACTAAGTGTCACTGTTTCACATACTTTCTTTTTCAACAGGGTCCCCCAGGACCAACCGGGATGCAGGGTCCTATTGGGCCTCCAGGACTTCCTGTGAGTCTTACTTTATCCCAACACTTTTTGCTGAAACAATATGAATTTAAGAAGTTTAGTGGAGAAAAAAAAAACCCTTCCTCTTACTGTATTTTCAGTAAATCCAAAATGCCCTAAGATTTCCCCCCCCCCCTGAAATGTTTGTCTTTCTTTCAAGTAAATATCTACATCATTTCCCTTCAAACTGTTTGTCTCCTCTATGCACAATTCCTCTCCTTTCCCTTATCCCTATTTTCTTTAACTATTAAGAAGTTCCTTCCCACAGTAATGTTTAAGATCCTGCTTGGTTAAAATACTTACCATTGTGTCACATAAATCCCAGACTTTTGGACTGCTTAAAGCAAGTGAAGAATCGTTGATCTCTAACATAATATTTTGCTATTAGGGAGCTGATGGGGAACCTGGGCGCCGAGGGCAGCAGGGCATGTTTGGCCAAAAAGGAGATGAAGGTCCCCGCGGTTTTCCAAGTGTCAATGGCCCACCTGGGTTACAGGTGAGTATGAGACCAACAAACAATCTTTAGAAGGCTACACTAATTTGAATGAAGGCAGCATTAAAAAAAACATGGGTTTCAATTAATTTTATTTCTCTATCCAGTTAAATCCTGTCCTTTGGGAATTCAAAACAGCTCATATAAGGATCACCCATTTTATCCCCATAACACTAGCATTGTGAAGTAAGGTTGGCTAAGAGATAGTGCCTATTGATTCACACAGTGAACTCAGTATTTGAGTAGAGACTTGGACCTGGTTTCTCCAATCCCAGACTAATTCCTTAATCCATTATTTAGTGACTAAGTTTGCACAACATGTTTAAGCAAATCTGCTAAAGACATAATAGCTACATTCACACAAAACATTAAACTTCAATGATTTACAACTTGGGTAGCTTTGTTTTGGTTTAGTGTTATACAGTCACAGTTATCTTTAGCTGTTCATTGTACAAATTAACTGTGGAATTAAAAGCCAAACAACAACACAGGAAGTTCAAATATAAAAAACCTTTGGTTTATGATTCTAGTTGAAACCAATCTTTGGCTGAATATTGATATGCTAAAATTTGATATTTTGGGAATATATCTTGTTTTTCTGAATATTAATTGAAAGGGAATTGGCATTTATCATAGTCTATTGAAGTCTTGAAGCTGAAAACATGTCACAATAAAAATTAAAATGTTTCATTTGATTATTCCAGATTTTGGTGCAGTTACACAATCACGTCATTCTCTTGGCTATGTCTACATCGATCTCCCTACTAAATCTGAAGTTCATTCACAAATATTTAAAACAAAGAAAAGAGGGGGAGGGAACCCTTACCTAAATTTCAAATATGTTCTTTTAAATCTGATCATTGTCCAGAATCAGAGAATAAATCGAATGCTTTCTACTGCTCAACTGTAGTCTGTTGTATACGTGTTTGTTTCCATCACAGGGAATGCCAGGACTCCCAGGTGAGAAGGGCGAAAGTGGTGAAACTGGGCTAATGGTAAGAGCCATTTGTTTCCCCTCTGGCTTCACCTTTGACCCTGGGCTTGATTTTATTACCACTTATAAATCATTCCCTTTCCATTTTCTCTAGGGCCCACCTGGAGCTCCAGGGGCCCGAGGCCCACAAGGTCCCAGTGGTGGAGATGTGAGCAACATTTTTTTCCTCATGTAAAGCAAAGGGATTTCAGACATTTAAGTATTCCTGATAATTCAAAACTATATTCCTATCTTCCTCCTGGGGAAGATGGAGACATCAATTGGTGCAGAAGTATTAGACTGATAGTTTTGGGTAATCCTTGAAGATGAGTTGCATGGAGTTGCAACACGTTATATGAATGAGTGCAAGTGTAGTTGGGCTATTGAGAAGACATGCTATGAAGTGTGGCTGGTTGAATATGAAAACATGGCAGACAAAAGAAAACTCCAAATTTCTATATAGCTCCGATTTACCACACTGAACCATATTCCAGATAGCCATAGAGCAGCACATTTATTCATAGTGCTGAGCTCACATGTTCATTTTATTTAAAAGTTGATGTGTAATATATACAGTACAGTGCACATTGAGCAATCTTCTAAATGGAAATGATCTGTATCTGTTGACTTTGTAACAACAGTTTCAAAACAATTAGGGTTACGGTGACCATATTTTTTTTCATTTATTGATTGGGTTTTATGCCATTACTCATTCTAATAGTTTTAGATGCAATATAATCAGAACCATAAAGCATGGATGCTCCTGGGGATCCTTGCAGATCGAAAGACAGTCTAGAAAATTAAGAAGTAAATTAAACAGGCTAATGGCTATTGAAATAAACCTAGCATATAGATTAAACTGATAGAGACAGAAAAAATTAATATAGTCATAAAACAAATTCAGCCTTCCTTTTATCAATAGAAGCTCAAAAGCAGGTCTATGGATATAGAACAATGGCTAACTATAGCTTCATGTGTCTCCATGATGTGCTGATTTGATGGATGAATAGTCCCACCAGGAAAGCATCCCCAAGAGACCTCAATAGTGGTAAGCTATTGAGCAGGTAGATAGATGCTTAGGTAATGCAGCATGTCAAGTAATCATATGAGGACCCTTGAAAATCAATTTAAGTAAGTGCCTGGGCTCAGCAGTATCCATTAATTTGAAGGGCCTCGTGATATGCATGAAGCTCCCTCCATGTGAAAAGAGAAACATAGTTTCGTGTCAGGAAATGCGCTGGGTATTAAATTGCACAGAGTCCACAGATGATAAATGTCAGTGAGTTATTCGGTCTGGAGATGAGGCATAAGGCAAAAGGGGATGAGTTTAAAAACAACAAGGCTTCAGATATTAAATGCATGTAATATTAGTTGGAAGGAATGCTCTGATGTGATTAAGTAATTGGTTTAGGAGTTAATACTCAGGACTGAGTGATTTCTCTGAACTAGTTGTTGTGTGTCTTTTTATTTCAGGGCCCACCAGGTCAGCGTGGTGGGGTAGGCCAGCCTGGTGCCGTTGGTGAAAAGGTGAGGCTTGAGAGGATATTTCAGGTGGAGAGATAACCCCTGTGATATGCAGATGACTTTACCCAAGAGGGTGTAAGGGATGTGAAGTATTTGGTGCCAACATTGGGGGAAATTGGGATTTTTCCTGAGGGGAAGCAATTGTAGTGCAGAAAGAGGGAATTGTGAAGCTAGATTGTGTTTCTAATTCTTTCTATCCCATTTCTATATTCATTTCTGATCTCTTTTCACCCCCACCTTCCAAAATATGCATGAAATGTGCATGCCTTTCTCATAACATGCATGCGGGTAAAGCATTTATTCCGGTGCATTTTGAAATACTACTTCCATTCTATCCTATTTTAGGATGCCTTTTTGTTTCAATATATTATCTTTTATTTGGAAATGGCATAGCAATATTTGAAAAAGAATGTGCCATGAGGGATATTTATGTTTTAATTCTTGTGCTGGCTTGGAAAATGCAAATGAGATAAGTTTGCATAAAAATACAAAGCCAGTGAATTAATGGTCTGTCAGTATGTGATGGTATTGGAACCAACACCATGGGCCTCAGCATTTTCCTCAGTACATTCACATCTCTGCAAGGGAACAGAAGGTGGTAATTTCCCTGTAAAATTTGCATACAGACTCTTTTCTCTGGCAGCTTAGATTTTAGCTAGCAGCAGATACATGGAGCTTTCAGTTATTCAAGAGGAAACAAATTCAATGTGGTAACAAATAGGAAGGGAAGAGAGTATATGGAAGCTGGAAATATTGAGAAATTAGTGTATGTCCATTGTTGACATGTGCTATCAACAGGTGGAAGAAGAATTATAAAGAACATTTTAGCTTGCAGAGCATGTCTATAGGTAGAAGGATAACAAAATTCTGCATAATATACATTTGCCCTAGGAAATCTAGATCCAATGGCTTCTGAACAGTCCTGAAATTCCTGGATATATCAGAAGCTGAATCTTGTCTCAGCAGACAGTTTCTAACTTTCATCCTCATTCTGTGGTTTGGAGTATATTGAGAGTGTATTACAAGCTTTTACATAAAAAATTTAATAGTCTGTATGGCTAATAAAAAATGTTCAAAACAAATTGACAAGGATGCCTGCTACTATCCCCCCACCTCTACTTCTGGACAGATGATATACTTGCAAGCAAAACTCTGTGCTGCTTTCAGCTGCTATCTTTATTCTAAAAGTGCTTGTAAGAACCAAGTGTGATAAGAACCAACAGTGTTATTGGAAATAAAGATCATGCTGAAGTTATTTTTTCCAAATAAAATATTTTTTTTAAAAAAAATTAAAATGGCAGACAGCATGGCAGAGACCAATGAAGTGCTTCGTAGGTACATTGAGGAAGTCTAGTTTTTAAAAATGGATGGATACATAATTTTAGTATGTGTCAATGTCTGAAAACTGGTCTCAAATAAGAACTGGAAATGCAACATTGGTTAGGTTAAAGATTCACTCTTTATTTTTTCTCTTATCTTCTAGGGTGAGCCAGGTGAAGCAGGGGATCCTGGACCACCAGGGGAGCCAGGCCTACAAGTGAGTTTCTAAGTTTTGAGAAGACTTCACATGTGGTACTCCTTCCCTCTTCTTTGCAGGTCATGCTACTTGGAACTCAATGTCTCGCTATACTACATTACTCTCTGAAGTGTAGGGTCACTTGATTAATTGATCCTTCCCTGTCTTCGATTAAGTGAGCAGCTTAATGCTAAGGATGATTTAATAAAGATCCACTCTGGTGGGAATCTCCCACTACAGTGGTAGAGGGACTCGGAGTTATATCTATCTGTGCATTCACAGGGAGTGAAAGGTGATGTTGGTGAAAAAGGAGATTCTGGCCAGTCTGGAGCAGCAGGGCCACCTGGAAAAAAAGGCCCCCTGGGAGAAGATGGGTCCAAAGGGAACATGGTGAGCTAATGATTTCTGAATGTCAAAGTGGCAACAGCTATGTGATCCTACCTCTTTTATGGAAAAATATGTCAGATTCATCTAAAATGACACCTAAAATGATTTTTTTATGGCCGAATTGACTATCCACTTCTATAGCAACTTCCAGGAAAGATTTTGCAGCTGCTTTGAATGGATAGCTGAGTGAGCACTCTCATTTTGTAGTGAAGTAAAGTTAATTGCATCTTTTCAAAATGCAGTTAGTATCAATTGATATCAATTAATAGTAATCAATTAATATCAATTAATTGATAAAACTGGAAGAGACCACTTGGCTGTCAGTTGCAATTCTCTAACATAGTTGACATGATTCAAGATGTTGTTCTCTCAATTCAGATCTTAAATTCAGGAGATCTAAAAATCCATAAACTGACACAATCTGCAATTGATACTATTTTCACTTAGGCTTGTGAGGGAATAGTTTCCTTTCACCTCTGGAGAAACTGATATTTTCGGATATTTATGGCTTATTGCATTTCTCCATCACAGGGTCCGATAGGATTCCCTGGTGACCCAGGTCCAACCGGAGATCCTGGTCCTCCTGTAAGTATCAGCTTTGAACTGAGTCACAACATTGTCACATTTCATTTCTGGCTTTGGAAAAGAATTTAGTGGGGTAAGAAGTAGGAAAAAAGTTTGAAAGCTACAGCTTTTGTTTTATTTTATTTTTAGGGAAAAGGGGAATCTCATACTGGGATCCTACTCAAACCTTGTCTTTCATAATTTTAATTACATGAAAGTTGACAATTTTTTACATGAATTACACAAATTACATGAAACAGATTAATAAAAAGAGAGTTCGGGTACTCAGTTCTGCATCTAGGAATTGTTTGTTTAACTTTCCAACTCCTAGGAGCTGCTGTTTTTAGATTTATAATCAATCATAGCTTTCGTTGGATGCAAGGAGAGACAAGAGCTTGGCTCTTTTTTATGTTGGGGTGAATAATCACATAGAAGAGGGATGCAGAACCTGTGGCCTTCCAGGTGTCACTAAACTAATGCTAACAGCATCTGAATCTGGCAGGTCTGGTGATTAATTTTCCTGGAAATTATAATTCAGCAAAATCTGCAAAGGTTTCTTGATGTGAATAATAAAGAGGTTTTAATTATATTTCTGATATATTTGTATAAGGGTTTTGGAGCTAGTACTTCACCTGGATTGGGATTGAAATTAATGAATAGTTTAGGAAAAGGTTCTATGGGTGAAGCTCCCTAAATATTCTGATGAGGTCTGAGCATATTCAGTGACTAGAGAAGCTTGTTTCAAGTTGGAATGGGAAAGCACAATGTGGTGCATTGAAGGAAGAAGGTGTGACAAAATAAATGATGAAGCTCTGAATCGTAGCCCTCCATGTTACATTTTGTTGCAGGCCTCATTTGTGTTTAGAATCTGATTTGCTTTGCTCCTATCTCCTTCTGTGCAGGGCCTAGATGGAATTTCTGGTGAGAAAGGTGATGTGGGCGATCCAGGACTTCCGGTAAGTATAGAAGACATTCCTGGTGGAGAAACTATCCATTCTACTCTGTAGCAATGTTCTTGTTCACTTTTGCAAAAAAAAAAAAAAAAAAAGTCCATATCGTACCTCAATAACAACAATATACATATTGAGGCTTTATTTATTAATTTATCTACTTATATATTTACTTGTCCCAAAGGTGCCTTTTCAAGAAGCAACTGGACTTTCTGGTTTTTCTTTGAAAACATTTCGTTTCTCATCGAAAAAAGCTTCTCGGATGAGAAGTGAAACGTCTTCAAAGAAAAACCAGAAAGTCCAGTTGCCTCTTGAAAAGGCACCTTTGGGACAACCATGGCCTGGATGACTGAGAATCTCCATAGATATGTATTCTTGTTTTTCATATTTTTCAACTGCTTATCTCCCTTGAAGGAGGACTTTGGGCAATGTACAATAAAATGTTAAAATATAAAAATAGTACAAAAGTTAAAAACTTCTGGTTTTTAAAATTAATTAGAAGACGAAGAAAGGCTTTCAGGGCACTGGCTATGTGCTCCTCTGAGCTTTCCATGTGAAGCCACAGAGCAATGTTTTAATTCATTTACAGAAGGCCAGGAGAGTGAGGGCCTACCTTACTTCCAGGGTGGGGAGAATATTCCACCAGGTGGGGGAGGGAGGAATGGCAGAGAAGGGTCTCTTCCTAGTCTCTGCTAGTCAGAGTTTCTTTCCCGAAGGGGTCGACAACATACCTTCCCTGCCTGTCTGGGTGGGGGGAAAAAATCTATGTAATTGGATGAAGATTGTTCTGAAGGTAGCCTGGCCCCATCCATTTAAGGATTTATAGGTCACAACCAACACCTTGAATTAGATCTGGAAGCAAACTGGCACCCAGTTGTTACATGTGCCCAACTTTGGGCACCCAAACTGCTCATGTAATTTTGTAATCATGCATTCTGCGCTGGCTGAAGCTTCTGGATACTTTTCAAGAGTAGCCATGTGTAGAGTGCATTGTAATAGCCCAAACAGGAGATGGCCAGGGCATGGCTGAGCAAGCTATGTGATGAGTTTTTCATAGAGGTATGATTGTTAGGAAAAAATGGAAAAAACACAAAGCAATTTTGAAAGAAATGAAAGTGGTGAAAAGAGCTAAAAAAGGAGTCTCCAGAGGAGTAAGTAGAATTAAGAATAAAACTAATGAAATTATTTGGAATGAAAATGAAATAAGGGAAAATGGGAAAGAGGATGCTAACGGTTTGTAAGGGAATGAAAGTAATAAGTCAAAAAATGATTTGAACGTTACTATGAAAAATGTTAAAATATTGATGTGATTTACTTATGGTGAAGCTGCCTGTAAAGATTTTCAAGCCAAGCTGGTTGTATTTGGTAGATAAAATGGAGCAAAACATTGCACATTTTTCATAAATCGTGGAAAAACAGTGAAGAGAGATGAATTTGTGTGTCTTGTAAGTTGAGGTATTCATTAAAAATGGCAAAATGGATGGAGAAGTGTTCCGATATTAAGAAAAGTAATGGATAGCGTGTGATCTGTTGTGAGGAATATTTCTTTCTCAAAAGAAGTGGAAATGTTTTTAAGACTCTGCTTCTATATCCACTTTGATCTATGGAAGAAAGAGTTGGGAATGTCAGAAGAAACACGAAACTAGGTAGAATGCTGAGGGGAAGAAGGGAAAAAGGGAGAAGGTCAAGAAGAAATGAGTGCTCAATGAACGTGATTTGAATATAAAAGAGGGTGATTGATACGAGAGAAGCTCACTCAGTCAGTTTGATCACACAATCAGTGAGGATTGAATTGCAAAATGAATATATACTGTCGAATGGAGTTGAAAAGATCCTCAAAAATAGAGAGATGAGGTCTAAACAATGAAAGTATCCAGTGATTGGGGATATGGTTGAAACAAGAACAGTTTCCAAGAACAGAAGAGTGTAAAGAGTGTATGAAGTGAATTAAATTTATCTTTATTTTCCTTTGTTTTGTTCTTATTTTATAAATCCTTAAGTTTCATTTCCATTCTATTTCTTATATATTTTCTGTGTTTCATATATTTCTGGTCATCTTGAAAATGAATAATGGGTTAGGTTCATATCATATTCAGCAGGCTCTGACCAGTTCTGGAGAATCGGTAGCAGAAATTTTGAGTAGTTCGGATAACCGGCAAATACCGCCTCTGACTGGAGATTTTACAGTATCCTTCCCCTGCCACGCCCACCAAACCATATCCACAGAACTGGTAGTAAAAAAAATTGAATGCCACCACAGGTTCATATATATGGAAGTCCATTTTCTTCATAGCATGCAAGATTTTATATATCCTGACCATATTTTCCTCATTATCCTTCTTTGCCAAACAAATTAATCTCAAATTATAATGTTTTCACATGTGAAAAGTATTCATCCGGTCTCTCTCACACATATTTTGATTGCTTTCTTCTGTAGTTTTTCCATCTCTATTACAATGTTTCAAAATTGGTTACCAGAATGATACATTATTCTAGATTGGGATATAATACATAAAGACATTACAGTATTGGCAGTTTTATTTTCCATTCCCTTTTAAAGGTTGCCTGGTATGAACATGTTTTTTTCACAGTTGGCACTCATTGGTGGAATCTTCACCAATTCTCAATTTTTTTTCCTGGTTAGTTACAGACAGCTCAGATCCTGCCTTATGTATGGGATGTGAATCTACATGTTCACTGTATATGCAAATGGAGTTGACTAATTTGTTTCCTCTCCTGGATTCAGTTTTTTAAATTTGTAAAGTGGGATTTGGGAGTCAGGGATATGTCTAAATTTAATAAAATAAATTAATGAAGCCTGATAATTGAAGTTCTCTGAAGGGGACAATAAGGAAGTCTGAATATATTTTCAATATTATGTTAACTGAAATTTCCAAGATTTGGAGGCAAACCAGGGGAAACCATGATAAATCAATATCACCAGTGTGTGTATTTTATTGCTATTATTGTATTGTAATATGGGGAACCTAAAATGAAAACAGTTGAAATCCATCAAAATGTTAAAAGCATTTTGATGTCAGAATGTTGCATACTATACAGTTGTCTCTTAAAATATTGATATTGATGTATACTTAAAAGCCACACCCACTGATCCAAATAACAGTTGTCACAAGTAGAAACACTGCATTCATGTGTAGTGGCATATTTATATATAGCAGGAATCTTATATCAATCCAATCAAGGATAATTAAGTTTCATTGCACCCAGGGACATTTTTTTTGGGGGGGTGATTGATCTACATCAGATCATGTTATGGGATCAGGAAAATTTCTCTGTACACTACAACACATGCCTTCCCAAAAGATGTCCTTAGAAATAATACTTTTTGTTTTATTTTTCTTTTTTTTGTTTAGGGTCCACCTGGAGCTTTGGGGGAACCAGGTCCTCCTGGGCCACCAGGGAAGAGGGTAAGTCGGGACTTATATTGGCAAACCTCCAAGGAACAACTGTTCTTTCTTCTCTTTCTGTATGAATGCCTATGACAGCATGCTCTGCCCACCAGTATCAGATACAAATCTCCAATAAACAGCACAACTGGATGGAAAGTAGTTCAACAAAGTGCCCAAAAAGTGATGCAACTAAGGATCATGGATGTTCACCCCAGACTAAACAAATACCAGCACTCCACAAACAACTTCAAGAATAACTGAATCATACTATGACCCCAGAACACACAAAAATGCTGACAACCACCATCAAGACTGCATCTCTTAAGACAAGCTGGAAAAAAAGGAAAATAAAGCTAAAAAATAAATTGCTCAAGCTAATCCCCTGGAAACAAAGAGATATCTGAACTTAAATGCGTAATCAATATGTCCAGCCCTCCCCAGTCCACTGCAGAACAATATCCTGCAAAAATCTAACTAACTAATTAACTAACTAACTTGTTTGTTTGGTTTTGTTTGTTTGTTTATTTATTTACTTTTTTATGCTACCCATCTCCCCTTTAAAGTGATTTTAGGCGTCCTACAGGTTATAAAACAAGTGAAAAACAGTTAAAAGATTAAAACAGTACAAAATTAAATTATTATTAAGAATTAAATATACAAAAGCCAAACTAAGATTGTTAAAGGCCAGAAAGGACATGGATGAGGTCTTTTTACCCCATCAGCCACATCCAGCAATGAGTGCCCCCCTCAGTACTCCAGGCAGCTGGAAAAACCAGATTTTGATACCTTTCCAGAAGGCCAAAAGGAAGGAGGCAGTTCTCACCTCCAGTGATAGTTATAGACACAGCATAAACAATGCTAATCAGTTAACTCTTTACAATCTTAGAAACAGGATTTAAAAACACAGGGCCTGCCACAGAGGCTCAAGAATATTTTCTAAAGCTCCTATAGGCCAGACAAGGAATAATGGATGGAAACTGAACAAGGAGAGATTTAACCTGGAAATAAGGAGAAACTTTCTGACAGTGAGAACAATCAATTAATAGAACAGCTTGCTCTCGGAAGTTGTGGGAGCGCCATCACTTGAGACTTTCAAGAAGAGATTGGACTGCCATTTGTCAGAAATGGTGTAGGGTCTCCCGCTTGGGTGGGGATTGGACTAGATGACCTACAAGGTCCCTTCCAACTCTGATTATCTGTCTGTTTGAAGAAAACATAAAACAGACAGTAATATCCACAGACCAGAACACAGAATCAGAAGCAACTCAAAGCAGAGGACTGAGCAGACCTCAAAACTCTAAAGAAGGACCAAACCATCACCATATTCCCAGAAGACAAATAAACTTTGAACTACAGTTATCATGGACAGCATCCAATATATACAAAAACCCAAAGACTTGGAAGACAAAGAAATCTATCTTCCAGACAGCACCAACCCAATAGAGAAACTAGATGACCCAGTCAAGAGAACCCTTAATGACCTAACCAAAAAAAAAGGGGGAATTCACAAAAGAAGAACAGTGGTGGTTGCCAAATTTTCATCTAGTTGTGTCATTATCAGGGACTCCAACATGCAGCATAGCTAAAAAACAAAAAAGCTTGGACATCTCACAGAGGGGAGGGAATATTCTATCAACGTCCCATTACGGTACCTCCCAAAAAAATCAAAGGCCTAAAAATAGAAGAAAATGGAAGTATGGTTTCATTTAATGTCACAGCACTCTTTATATCCATAAATCTGAAGCTAGTGAAAAAATTGATGGCAGCAATACTACACAACATACTCGACCTAACCAAATACACTAAGACTGAAATACCCATAATCATGCACCTCATCAATGTTTGCCTCACTATCTACTTTCAGTTTGATGACAAATATACCAAAATATCAGAGGAACACCCATGGAATCACCCCTCTCATGATTCAAAGCAAAGGTCTCTAAAGTACAACCCACAGTAACAAAACACAGGGAAATGCTATGTTTATACATTGCTTGAAAGTCTTATTAACTACTTTCTTGATAGGCTATAAAGCAGCTAAAAGAAAATTGGGCATAGATTAAAGATGTGATATTTCTGGAACAAGAGCCCTCTTAGCCAAAGGTAGTAATTTGATTTGTTTTTAAAAAATGGGGAAACATCCTTTCAAGAAAGCCTGCATCTGGATAATTATGCAATAAAGAAAAACATCAAGGTAATTTGCTAAAATAAAATGAAGTTCTTGGGGAAATTATATTGAAAACCCACTTTATGAGAAGCTATATACAAAGACTCCTTATATTAAAAAAGTCATGAAAGAAAACATTTGCAAAATGTTTTTTTAAAAGATTTTTTTAAAAAATCTGCCAAAATAAAATGATGTACACAAATATAGCCCTATGATCAGAGTTAGTACTCAACCGGTTTGCATTGGTTCAGGCAAACCGGTAGCAATGATTTGGTGTGGGTCGCCGAACCGGTGGCGACCCCAGCTGGCCATGCCCCCGACCAGGTCGCCCAATCGCTCACTTGCCGCGGTCGCTCTCCTAGCTTTCCCTACTACATGGTGACTGTGTGTGCAGCCGCTACACGTGCAGTGCGCATGTGCAGCAGCCCCGGGACATCCGCCTGCCTGCCCGCCCTCCCAGATCACGTTTTCTTCCTCCTCCCGGCAGACGCACCTCTTCTAGCCCGGCCCGGCCAGCCAGCAGGTGGGTGGGCAGATGTCCCCCTTGTCCCTCTTGTCACAAGATGCCTGCAGTCCAGCAGCCGCACCAAAAAAAGCACACCCTGTTCTATGTGCCGGGCCTGGCAAGTCCGAGCAGCTGGCGCATAGAACAGGGCGGCAACAGACTGTTAGAGAAGTGGAGCAAAGCCGGAGATCAGTAGCTGCCTCTTTTGCAGTGCAGAAATCCTCCCCAAATTGGCCAGCTGCTCTTCTTCTTTGCTTATTTGTTCTGTATGGCCAAGGAGGAGGAGACTAGTTGGGGGAGGATTTCTGTCCAAAAGAGGTAGATGGAGACTGACAAAGAGTCACCTCCATCAGCAGCCCCTTTGCCCGCTGGTCTCCTCCTCGGCCATACAAAACAAACAGGCAGAGAAAGAGGAAACCAACCAGCCAATTCAGGGAGAATTTCTGCACTGCGAAAGAGGCGGCTACTGATCTCCGGCTTCACTCCACTTCTCCAACAGTCTGGCACCGCCCTGTTCTATGCGCCGACTGCTGGGACTTGCCGAGCCTGGCACATAGAACAGGGCGTGCTTTTTTCAGTGCAGTTGCTGGACTGCAGCTGCACTGAAAAAAGCACGCAGCAGCTGCAGGCATCTCATGACAAGTGGGGGCGAGAAGCCCCGGGACATGTGGTCACCTGCTGGCTGGCTGGCTGGCTGGGCTGGAAGAGGCGCATCCACCAGGAGAAGGAAGAAATTGTGCTCTGGGAGGGCGGGCACCGGGCAGGTGGGTGGATGTCCCAGGACCACTTAAAGGTCAACTTTAAGAGCACCCCATAGAAGAAGCTGAGCGCCCCCATGGAAGAAGCTGAGTGGTGGCAGCAGGGGTGGCGGGGGTATGTGTCCCTCCACAAGGAGTGTGAAGGGAGGCAGACACCGTACCTCTGAGGAAAAGAGGAGGTGCTGAAGCCCTGGCTGTCACCCGGGAGGGGACCGCGGAGGGATCCATTACATGCCCCTGTCTTCCCTGCTGCTGCTACTTTTGCTCTCACAGATGGCCGCAGCAGCACCTGCAGCAGCAACAGGCAGCGCCAAAACAACGAGGTACAGTAAGATTTGGCGGTGCAAATTTATCTCCGAGGGGCTTCTGGCAAAAAACAAAACAAAACCATCCCAAAACAAAACCCATTCAGCAGGCAGACTTGGCAGGCAGTCATGATCTTTAGTTGGGCTTTTATTTTGTCAGCCCAAGGGTGGAGGAGAGGTGGAAAGGTACGTAGGAAATCACCCTGTCTCTGCAACATCTGTCATGTGACTGAGTGGGTGTGGCCAACTCAACGTCACTCGCAGGAAGGTGCCACACCATCTTGCCGAGTTGACCATGTCACATGACCACCAAGCCATGCCTACCAAACAAGTCACGCCCACAGAACCGGTAGTAAAAATATTTGAATCCCACCACTGCTTATGATATAGCCAGTAAAACAGAATGGATGCTTCCATGAAAATTATGTTTGATCGACTTCCCTCCCAGCCCCACTCCCTCTTCCATAAGTGGAAAATATTTCTTGTAAACAAGCGGAACCGATATTAAAATGCATCTAAGATCCCTTAGAGGAAATCATGAATTTACAATTTCACACTAGGCACTCCCCTGGAAATAAATGTTATCTTCTCTCCTTTGGCAGAAATTCCAGAATGAGGGACATGCTCTCCAATTTAACTTCTTCTGATACTGGTCCTTCTGATAAAAAACATTGGCTCTGTGCAGGCTGGTTTTATAATTTTAGGTTAGCTTCATTTAGATTTCAGAATATGGCATTTAATTTGTAATTATATACATGCCATGTTAGATGAAATTGAAATAATGTAACTTTCCTTTCCTGGTCCTGATATAAAATAAAGATTGTATTTCTGAACTGTTTAAATGAAAAGAATCCTATGAAAAAAGGCATACAGATATCCTGCTTACAAAGAAGGTTGAGGTTGACGTGGAAAATCATAATTCTTTTAGTGGCTTTGCTTAAAATTAAGCAAATGTATATGAATTCTCAAGTTATCTTTAATTGTCTGAACAATATTCATAACAATCCATGTGTACTATTTAGAGGTATTTTATTTCTGTATTGTGAATTATTTACAGGGATGGCTCCTCTCTAATATGCTGTCCATTTTATGTGTGATTTGCCTGATGTTTTTTCAAACTGATAGCAAGTTGTTTAATTTTTGCATAAGCTTATGGTTAAAACAAAACTTTGCATGTTTATTTAATAAAATTGAGAGTATGAATAGAACTAAGCATTCTCTAGAAGGACAGAAATCTTAACCCACGAGATCTTAATCCAAGTGATTTATGCAGGGACTTCATTTTTCTGTTCCAGGGACCTTTTGGGCAAGCTGGACGTGAAGGTCGACAGGGTGAGAAAGGGACCAAGGTGATAGAAACCAAGCTAATTTTATTCTGCTATCCAGTAAAGGAATGCTAGTTTCTCTTTTGTTTTGTTTGTTTTTCTTCCGCCTATTCCGCTATCAGTGTTTCCCCGCAGGGTTGGACTGAAGCGAGGCAAATATCTCAGAAGATTCTGAAAAGTAGCAATGGCTTCTCTGTGTTGGAAGACACATATCTTGTTTCTCAATCTTAGTGATTTTAAGATGTGTGGACTTTGTCAACTCCCAAATCTGGAAGTTGAAGTCCGTACATCTTAAAATCACTAAGATTGAGAAACACCATGTTACAGCCTCTGCCACAAAGTATATTGGAGGAAGTAACATTCAACTGTCAATCTAATTAATTTTTGTACATATGTATGCATATGAGAAGTTATTCATGTAATTCTTGACAGCAAAACATACTATACAAGAAATCATTCTACAATAGCCACCTCTATCCTTCAGTTCAAAAAGCAAAATGAATCAAATTAAGTTAGTATTCTTCAAAATGCTCTGCTCCATGAAAATAGTGAATAATAATTGGACAATCTTGAAATAATAGAATATTGTTATGATAAATGGATGGTTTTTCCCTCTCTCTTTCTCTCTGTCCATAGGGTGAATCTGGTATAGAAGGTCCCTCAGGGAAAATGGGGCCTGTGGGCCCACAAGGGCCTCCAGGCCAACCTGGTTCAGAAGGTCTGCGTGGAATTCCTGGTGCAGCAGTAAGTATCTTCAGTTCTTGGCAAACGGTTGACAGAGGGATGAAGGAGAATAGGCTGCAAATGAATGCAATATCATGTTGAATGGAGAAAAATGCAAACATTAGCAATAAAGTTCCAAGGCAGAAAATCAAGTTTCTTTAATAATGTGAAAAGAGATTGAGGAGAAAGTGAGTCTCTGTTCTTCAGTCTAAAAATAGAGAAATAGAAGCAATGAACTTTGAACTACTAGCAGGTGGATTTAGTTGAAAAATTAGAAAAAGGTCTTTCTAATGCTAGAAGACTTGGGCAAGGAATAATAAGGTTGGAAAGGTGGTGGAAAAATATTCTATTCTTTGGAACAAACTCTGCTTTAAGGAATAAATGGACTAACTCCAGGGCATTTATTTGATCCCTTTCAAATGAGTGACTGTAGTTCAAAAGAGCTTTTGGTGCATCAGAAGGGAGGCACACAGCATTTTAAAGTTGTTCACATTGTCAACTGAGGTAAATGAAGCGGTGAAGACATCAAAGAAAGCTCCAGCTGAGCATGGAGTTCCCTTAGATGCACACATACTGTTCCTTTAGTTTATAGGCCATTTATTTTATAGGGCTTAATGAGTAATGATTGAAGAATTTCCTCTTAGCAAATTCTGATCCAGCTTTACAGTACATCATGATCTGCACCTCTTAGTTAAGAAAATTTTAATTTATTAATTGTTTACTTCTTTGTTTATTTTAAAAGAAAAGAGAGGACAAAGACAAAAATCATAAAGTACAGATGTTACATGGAAAAGTTTGCAGAGTAACTTAAAGATAAAAATTAAAACACAACACAAACTATTCAACCGGAAGAAACATCTTACTTTTATCTTGATTTATTAACTTGGATTAAAACAAATATGAAGTCTCATGACCATTTTACTATTCTAGTACTTTCAAAACTTGTATTTAACTATTATTAAAATCAAAATTTAGATTAGACAAGAAACCTATGTTATAAAAATAATGAAAAGAGTTTAGAAACTGTATTTTAAGAGAACCCAAAGCTCAGATGTAATGGCAGGGCATGTACAGAATTGTACTCCATAAAGAGTTTCTAAGTTAAACTGAAACTAACATCTGACTTTTTTTTTCAAATACAGTGTACTTTAGACTATGTCACATTCTCCCAGAACATAAACTGTCATTTTTAAAGGAATTAAATGTGATTTCCAGTAAAAGGCATAAAATATCCTTGTGACAAATATACTGTATAAAAAACCAGCTCAGTAATTGGTAGAAAAGGAAAGTTAGCATACAGGATATGTTTCATTCTGTAATGATCATCTTCCAGCTGAGCTGAATTTTATGACATTTGCACCAAATATATGTCTCTTAAATTCCAGCTTCCTCAATGCCTCATGCTGTTATCAGATTTTTTTTAAAAAAATGAAAAGGAGTATATTAAGAGAAAAAATTGTTTCAAGAGCATGTTTCTAAACATTTGGGGGGAATGTTCACAGCTGTAAAAAATTTCACATGTTGATTTCTGTTCTAATAAGTCCAGAAGTAACAAGAACTAGAAACAGGATTGGACAAAATGCTAGATTTAATGAATTTATGTGAACCTGATAGTTATGCTTTGCCTAAGCCATTTTCTAAAACCAACTCTCAGTTTGGATCGGAACTACACAGCGAAACTTTTACTGGACAGTTGTCAACTGTGTTGTCACTTGATGGAGTTCACAGGAGAAGGAAAAGAACAGCTATTTTGCAAAGAATTCTTCCTTCCTTCCTTCCTTCCTTCCTTCCTTCCTTCCTTCCTTCCTTCCTTCCTTTCTTTCTTTCTTTCTTTCTTTCTTTCTTTCTTTCTTTCTTTCTTTCTTTCTCCCTTCTTCCACAATAAGGGCAGGGGAAAATAGCTGTCCATAATATATTTTGAGAGATTAACTGAATACATAATGGTAAGTGACCACATAACATTGTAGAGTTTGTCAAAAGAAAATTACAAGATGATTGAAAACTTGCTTTTACTCCACATATACCTTACCAAATAAACTTGCTTTTACTCCACATGTATCCATAGCCTTGTTGAGACTTTTTTTTAAAAAAGAAAGACACATAAAAAGTATCTCTAAAGGATAATTTCTTTTTAAATTCATTATTGTGAAAGTGAATGCAAAAGTTTAATATGCAAGGCAGTCAGGTTTTCTTTTGATAAGATATTTCAAGACAACTGGTGCTGCAGCTCCTCTTACTGATTTGCTGTGTGGCCTTTTTTTATTAATTCCATTAATTCTAATAAACTTTTGCACATGCTACTCTCCTCTTGGAACTGTTGGAGAGGCAGGTGGAATGAAACAATATGGCTGTTTGGCTATTAGAGGTAGGGCAAATGACTGAGTTTGGGCAGACTCAGGAAGACAAGGGAGGATGGGACGGCTGGTGTGCTATGATCCATGGGGTTGCAAAGAGTCATGACTTAGCAACTAAAACAACAACAAAAAAGATTTTGGCAAACCACTTCAAGGTTACCTCCTCAAAGCTTTCCATGGGTACAGATCAAAGCCTTTTTCACAGGAAGGAGATGATGTAGAGAATGGGAGAGTTTGCCCAGGTGTACTTTTTAGTGCCAAAAGCCTTTTAATTCTTGTTGCTAATGTTGCAAGTTATTTCTTCTCTAGGGTGAACCTGGTCTACTGGGAGCTCCAGGACAGGCAGGGCCCCCAGGTCCCATGGTAAGCAAAAAAGAAATGGCCTCTGTGCAACAGCTGGTCTTGTCCTGAGACTGTCAGTGAACAATGCTGAGACTCTTTCACAATGAGTTTCCCCCTACTTAGGGTTGGCCTTACATGGGTATTTATTGTTGGGGGCAATGTTAGGAGGGCCTTCTAATAACAACAAAAAACAAAAGAATCCAGCAGTGAAATGAAGTAGGCTTTTCAAATTATTTTTCAAAAAAAAAAAAAAAGGGAGGGAAGCAGCTGCTTATTCTGATTCATTGAGCAGCTATTACATCAACATTCATGGTTGATTAAGGCTCAATTCCCAGAGGGAATTACTAGTTATGATTTAAATGAATTAGCCAAGATTAAATTATAAACTGATGCCATATCAAAGAATAGATGTGAATGAACCTATATGAAGGAAACAGTTGTCAGAATAGGGGAGGACAAATGAGTAACAGTCCTACTCTTCTGGTGTCTCTGGATTATGGTTTGCTATTGACTCCAGCTCTAAATGGCCATTTATTGCAAGAGTGCTCGATTCCTGTTGGCCCAAAGACCATATTCAGCCTTGCATAGCATATTGTAAGCAATACACCCAAAGTGGATGAGACCATTACTTATCTGGAGCAGGGAAGACTGAAATGAATGTCCAAGCCATGGGTGACAAACTCACTGTGTCATGTTGCCATCACATGATGTATCGCTATATTGTTTCCCTTCATGGAGCTGTGGTGGGCGTGGCCTGTACATGACACATCTGGCCCACAGTCGCCAGTTTGACATCCCTGGTTTAAGTTTCTGCAAAGAATAATGTAGCCCTTTAAACTTTCACAAACTTCAAAACCAAGAAAAAGATCCAAAAGCTGAAAATGTTGGGTGTATACACTACACTGGAGGGCCTCACTGGTTCATCACACTAGTAATACCACACTTGATCATCATGATATAAAAAAGACATTTGGACTCTAGAAAGAGTGCAGAGAAGAGCAATGAAGATGATTAGGGGACTGAAGGCTAAAATGTGAATGGTTGCAGGAATTGTGCATGCCTAGTTTAATGAAAATAAGAACTAGAGGTGACACGATAGCAGTGTTCCAATAGCTAAGGAAGCGCCAGAAAGAAGAGGGGGGGGGGTCAACTTATTTTCCAAAGCACCCGAAGGCAGGATAAGAAGCAGTGGATGAAAACTAATCAAGGAGAGAACCAAACTAGAGCTAAGAAGAAATGCCCTGACAATTAGAACAATTAATCAATGGAATGACTCCAGAAGTTGTGGGGATCCATCATTAGAAGTTTTAAAGAAGAGATTGGACAACCATTTGTCTGAAATGGTATAGGGTTTCCTGCCTAAGCAGAGGGTAGGACTAGAAGACCCCCAAGGTCCCTTCCAACCCTGTTATTCTGTTATCATGAAGCTTCCAGGCAGTGCTTCTTGAGTTCCATTCTTAATGCAGCTGTTCTCCTCTTCATAGGGTCCTGCGGGGCTCCCTGGTCTCAAAGGTGATTCTGGCTACAAGGGAGAGAAGGTAAGCATAAATAGACTATTCCTGCCTGGGTAGAAGATGAAAGACCTTACAATCTTCAATTGAATCATCTCTTGTCCTAGAAAGGCTTCTTCTTTCTGCAGCTACCCTGTTAAATCTTGAGCCTTCCTTTTCAATTGTTGTAACTGTTAGATGGGGTCTTGCATAATTTATGACCCAGGAAGCTGATGAGCCTTAGATAGTAGCTCAAGAAGAATTGTATATTTGCCTCCCTGCCCAGAACTGCTATAATTCAGCTAGGTTAAAGAGGCGATTGTTAAGCACATCTGGAGATATTCAGTGCTACATGTACTTGAGGGGGAGCTCACCAACTATCAAACGGGATTGCTTTAGAATGTTATTAACTCATATAAGACCAACAGAACAATGCACTATTGGAAATCTCAGCTGAAGTTTTTTTTTAAATGAATGGATGTTGAATGGATCATAAGAAAAGAGAACAAGATAGTATCAAGCAGCAGTAGATGAGTATGAGGTCCTTTCTAAATGACCATGCAGTCCTTACCTAACCATTGCAGCCAGGACTACTGGAACCACTGTCACTAAGTGGTATGGTAACATGGTGTTTTGCTTAATGGCTACTTTGCTTAGCAATGGAAATTCCAATTCCAGTTAGGGTTGTGACCAGAAAACTACCTGTATTAAGAGTCATGGTGGCGCAGTGGTTAGAGTGCAGTACCACAGGCTATTTTTGCTGACTGCCGGAGGCCTGCAATTTGGCAGTTCAAATCTCACCAGGCTCAAGGTTGACTCAGCCTTCCATCCTTCCAGGGTGGGTAAAATGAGGACCCAGATTGTTGGGGGCAATAGGCTGACTCTGTAAACCACTTAGAGAGGGCTGTAAAGCACTGTGAAGTGGTATGTACTGTAAGTCTAAATGCTCTTGCTCTTGCTATTAAGCAAAAGTGTGGGGCTTCCTTCTATCTAATGAATAATAGTTGGTTCTGCTCTCATGTCATGCTTAACTGGAGCAAAGTGTTGTGTATACAATTGTATGAACACAGTAGGGATGGATTTGTAGAGGTCAGTTTTAGACACAAACAACCTAAATTCCTCTTGTTCAGCAGTATTGTTCAAAAAAGGTAAAATAGTTGATAGAAACCCAACTAGTTTCCACCTAGGTCAACTGAGACATTAACAATTGTGCATTATGCCACAATTTTAATATGAAACATAGTTGCTTTGGATTAAGCTAAACATCCCGCAGCCAACTACACTGAACAGAATAACATTTTAAGAGTGCTAACCTGCTCTTCTTGCCTCTCGCCTTAAAATCCCTAGAAGATCCTGCAAATACAGGACTGCTCTGGATTATCTTGTCTGTCTTATTCTTCCTTTACCCAAAGCAACATTTTCCCCAAATAAACAAATAAAGCAGCTTCTTGATAGCTTCAGCCAAAATGGCTTCTTGCTCTCTGATGAAGGCACAGCTGCCATTGGTTTATCAGTTTACATCACGATCCAGCAGTAGCAGCAACCCTGGTTACATTCATTGTATGAACATAACCTGTATTTCACTTTGGAGAAATTCTCTTTTCTAGCAAGATCCAGGAATATGTGTCTATATGTTACGTATAGGGATGGGGTTGGGGCATATAGTACTTTAAAATGGCCTTTTGCTTTCAAAAGGTTTGACTGAAGAACTCCAGTGAAGAGAAGTGGCTTCTCAGCAATGGAGTGGCTACTTTGCTGGAAAGCCACTTTTCCTGAAGTGAGGCAGCAGAAAATTAAGATAGATCAGCACTCCATAATACTTCTGGTCAAAATGACAGTGCAGAACCTTTTTCCTCCATGATGTGAAGTACCTTTTATTATACACTGGTTTCAAAGTTCTCCTCTTTGTCAGAGTGTTATTTTATTTTAATTTTTTTGCTAAGCAGTTCCCTTTTCCTTCTAGGGTCATGCAGGACTCATTGGGTTGATTGGTCCTCCAGGTGAGATGGGTGAAAAAGGTGACCAGGGGCTGCCAGGGAACCAGGGAACACCAGGCACTAAAGGCGACCCTGTGAGTAGATGGAGGCTGGTTGAGATGGGACTCCCCAATCAGGCACACAATACTGATACTCTTTTTCCTCCTCTAAAGGGTAACACTGGACCTCATGGTCCTCCAGGCCCACCTGGATCTCCCGGCCTCTTAGTAAGTATTTCCTGCAAGATTCTAAGTAGCTTCCAAAATAATTCCTCAAAAGCTCCCACTCAGGATATGGGCTTGTTGGTATGAGAACTTCTCTGGAACTCTGCAACTTTTGTCTCCCTCTTCCACACCCAAGTTATTTTTCTTTTTATGTGGCTGTGCCTCTCTCATCTGTTCTTCCCCAGTTATCTAAAACCTTTTATTCTGACCATATTTCATCATTATCACTATTTCATTGTTGCCTATCCATATTTTCTGACATTGTCTTTATTTCCTTAGTTTCCTTGCAAAAGGATATTATCTCTTACACTATTTTGCCATCTTCTTCTTACATCCAGGAGCTCCTTTCGCCTGTTGACCCTTTCTGTCTTTCCATAGGGCCCTCTGGGACAAAAAGGCAACAAGGGGTCTTTGGTAAGTCCCAACCAATACTGCAGGGCTCATGAAGAGGAAGAGATTAAACCAGAGTTGTCTACATAGGAGTTGTTATTCTAAGGGCTTTAATTTTGAAAGTCTCTAACAAAGGAACTTAAATTCTGGGTCAGTGAAATGATAGCTGTAATTTAGAGGCAACTAATGTACCACACATTGTACACTTGGTTGATATATAATGTATTATTATTATTCTAATCATGGCGTGCATTTAAGGGAGGCTTTGAATAGTGCTTATGATGCTTAGGTCGTGACACTCAAGCAGAGTTCGGCTTTGCAGATATTGCTAAACTGCTATTCCTAGAACCGCCAGATATGAGCAGTGGTAAAAAGGTATATGTGCATTGGCACCAAATTCTTGATCCATCTTCCTGCAGGGACCTATTGGACCAAAAGGTGATCCAGGACCACGAGGGACACCAGGACCACCAGTAAGTGAAGGTTTACTACAAGGTCTACACAAAATTCATCTATGTTCTATATAGCTTTCTCTATGATACGGTATGTCTACTGTATCTGCATGTATTTTTCTAGCCATCTTCTCCCATTGCATGCATGTTTACTGCTTTTTGTCTTAATAATACATGTTATGGTTATAAAAGCATATCCTATACTGGGAGAGATGGATATTAAAATGCATACATCTTTGTGTAAATTTCTAGCAATGTAAAATACTGCATGTGTCCACATTTTTTACACATTACAAAATTCAAAGAAATGTTAAAAATGAAGGGTTTGCTTTGAGTTTAGGCAACATAAATTGGAAAGGTCTCCTTTGATTCATGTTTGATTCCTGATATCTTCTGGATGTGTACATGATAACAGTTCAAAGTGGTTTATGATTCCTTTCTCCCCTTTTTTAGTTTTAAACATTTTCTGCCTGGCTGAAGCCTCGGAATTCTCTGGTGATCTCCCACTCAAGTTACTTAATCAGGTCTACCTTTATGTCATGTGTGTACACAAACTTTTGAGTCTTCTTTCTGTTTTTCATTTTCCTCCTTCTAGGGCCGTCCTGCTGAACTGCAGAATCCAATGCCCATGGGAAGTCGGCGCACAAGCCGCCAAGACTGGGAGGTTGAAGAACAGAGGGATGCTCCAGTGGAAGGGGGTATTGATCCTGATGCTGATGGGCTGGCAGAAGTCCTGGCAGCCCTGAGCTCTCTACGCGATGAGGTGGAGCAAATGCGATGCCCACTCGGCACCCTGGAGAGTCCAGCCAGGGTCTGCAAGGAGCTTCAGTTTTGTCATGCTCATCTCAAAGATGGTGAGTTTGAAGATGAAACTCCAAGCAGTGGATTCAGAACAGAATGTGCCGTCTACCCTAATTTTGAGAACCAAAGGGACCTGTGTGTTGCCTTTGGTAACTGGGGAAGGGGGAGAGCCTGCAAAACTCATAACTTTCTGATTGTGGGGAGCCTACTTCCTCATGGTTTCCCTAACCCTTTCTGCACTGATCCACGTAATATTCTTTAGGTGAATACTGGATTGATCCAAACCAGGGATGCAGCCGAGATGCCTTCAAAGTTTACTGTAATTTCACAGCTGGTGGAGAAACCTGCTTATTCCCTGACAAGAAATTTGAGGCTGTAAGTAGCTCACTTGACCACCAAAGAGGTGATCAGGAGAAAGATCAGAAACTATGTAAATTGCCCTAGCACCTCAAACAGGTCACTTGGCTCAGGAACCTGAATTTAAAACCCTAAGATGAGGAACAATATGAAATCTATGCCTTTAGGTACGACTTGCCGCCTGGAGCAAGGAGCAACCAGGAAGTTGGTTCAGCACTTTCAAAAGGGGCAAAAAGGTAACCGTTTTCCATTCCATTCCATGCTTTGTACCTAGAGGAAATCTGGAAAAGGAACACAGTACTATTTCCCATTTTCTGTTAATCAAAGTCATGGCCCAATGCAGTATCAAATCCATATGCAGGGCCGAGCCATCTTTCTTCAGATATGATTTGTAACTGATTGAATAACAGAATAACAGAGATGGAAAGGACTTTGGAGGCCTTCTAGTCCAACCCCACTGCTCAAGCAGAAAACCCTATACCAGGGGTGTCAAATGCAAGGCCCGGGGGCCGGATACAGCCCATGGGTACTTAGATCTGCCCTGTTGGGCCGCCTTGGAAATAATGAAGTACTGGCCCACGGTGCCTCTTCCAGTGAAAAATGGAGTTTGCAAGGGCTGCATGTGGCCCTCCCAAACTCCGTTTTCACTGGCAGAGCGTTACGGGAGGCTGTTGCAGCCGAAAATGGAACGCAGGAGCCTGTTTTTGCTGACAGAGCCTTGGGCTGCTGCTGGCGCCCCACTAGCACAAGTGATGTCATGCTGGCCACGCCCACCCTGGCCACGCCCCCTGCCCCCCCAATTCCTGCAACAATTGTTTTAGCCCTCAATCCCCTGATCATCTTTGTTGCTCTTCTCTGCACTCTTTCTACTGTCTGAAAAAACTTTTTTATAGTGGGGCGACCAAAAGTGGACGCAGAATTCCAAGTGTGTCCTTACCAAGGCATTATAAAGTGGTATTAACACTTCACGTGAACTTGATTCTATCCCTCTGTTAAAGCAACCTAGGACCATGTTGGCTCTTTTGGCAGCTGCTGGGTTCCGCCAATGCACCCAAATCATTGCTTACAAAGTATAATTGCTGGATTCAAAGCCAAATGGATCATAAAAGGCTTAGTGTGTAGTGTAATTATAGCCACTCAGTGTCTTTATTTGTGAGGATGTTGCAGTGTAGACTGGAAGGAACATAGTGGCTTTCTGTTAACTCACCATTTATTTCTCTTCCCCTTCTTCTTCTCCTTCCCAGTTCTCCTATGTGGATGCAGATGGCAACCCTGTGCTGGTCACTCAACTCACATTCCTGCGCCTGCTGAGTGCTGTTGCCCGGCAGAACTTCACCCTCCTCTGCCAAAATATGGCTGCTTGGTATGAAGCTGACACCAGCAACCACATGAAGGCGCTGCATTTTCGGGCTTTCAATGATGTGGAGTTGATGCACAACAGCACAGAAACTCCCATCCATGCCTTGTATGATGGCTGCCAGGTGAGAGAGCATTCTTCTAACTTTTGTATCTCTTGACCATTTCAGTATTGCTTGGTTTTCATCCCCACAACATGAAGTGACTCTGTGAATTGCAGGTCAGTGATTACACCTGGACCTTAAAGTGAAGGTATTGACCTGTGAGATCACCATCACATGATGGAACTTTGAGTATTGCAAAATTATCACGGAGGAAAATCATTCTGCTCCAAAAACCCTTTCAATAACTTCTTCCCTTTCATTCATCTTTCTTTTCAGCATTTTCCAACTCTCATATGAGCCATAATAGATGAGACATGTTAAAAGACCAGAATAAAATATTCCTCTCTATTCCACTCTGAGAAAAGTACTCATAATTTTCTGAATTTAGAGCCATTGCCTCCTTGGTCCATACTTGCCAAATTAAGGGATGTTGTGCTTTCTCAATCATGTTTGATCTACTGTTTTTCTGAATCCCCTGATGAAACATTTTCAAACCCTGATGCAGCCATTATTTCACATCTTCAAGGTTTTGCTTTTGAAGTTATCTTCTCTACTTTCAGGTACGTAAAGGACAGGAGCGGACAGTTCTACAAGTAGTGACGCAACATGTGGAGCATCTACCATTGGTTGATGTGGCTGTTCAAGATTTTGGAGAAACCAATCAAAAGTTTGGCTTTGAGCTCGGCCCGGTCTGCTTCAGTGGCTGAGCCCTCCAAAGATGGACACTCCCTCTAGACCATGTTGGACCACCTCTAGAAAAGGGAGAACTAAAAACCCTTTCTCTCTGCACTGGTGGGTGGGTGGGTGGGTGGAGGGATGCAGGAATAGAGTCAGCCTTGCAAAGACCTGCCGTTGTATTTAACCTGATGACAGCCTCCTATTTATGCGGCCACGGTCCCTCAGGGTGTGACTCTTAGGGAGTTGCACAGGGTTCAGACTGAGCCAGGGCCCTCTCTTGTTGCAGCTCCATTATTGGTGCTATTATGCCGTCTTAGTGAAGCACTGGACTGACTGGTCAGATCTGGCCACCTCTGGCGATGGGGATAACGGAGGCCACATTCTCCATAGTTGAATTTCACCCCAAAAAGGAATAGGAGATGTCAAGATTATGCCTGAAGCACGTTGGGAACTGGAAATTCAGGACCAATCCATTGGCACAGCCATGTACTCCGATGCATTGGCAATGGGAAAGGATGGAGATGTAGAGCAATAGTTTTGGAACTAATGGGCAACCACCGAAAAAACAAGATACTGTACTGAGATAAGATATAAGGAATAAGCATAAGATATCCATATTTTTAAAAACTGTATTGTATTGAATTCAACTCAATTGGTAAGTGTTTTGGCATGACAATGTAATGCAATTTGGGATCGTCTGTATAGGACTCTTCCATCTCTTCCTTCCAATTACCATGAAGATTAATTGACCTATACTTCTCTACAACAACCAAAAGCTATCCAGATACTATGCTTAGAGTCTGCATCCTCTTGGGAAAAGTAATCACTATCTTCTTTTCCTATCTTAAGATCAAATGGTGCTTGTGTAGCAAGACATCCTAAGTCTTACTGTTAGAATGCTGAGCCTGTCTCCTATTCTTTATATTTATTTACTACAAGAACTTCACCATAACCCTATAAGCCCACCATCATTTTCATGTTGGAAAGAGTAACCACAAGCCATACTCACTAGCCTCTCATCATCCTTATCTATCATTCTATCCATGCTCAGCAGATTCCTATAAGGCATTCTTCCCCAACTTAGCAACCACCATTAGATTTGGGAGTGAAAATTTGACTGGAAATTTTGAGAGCTGTAGACTGAATACAGCTGTAGGGCACTAGGTTGGGGAAGACTTTTGTAAGGTAATGGCTAGTGATTCTGACATGTTTTCTCTTTATGGAAGAAAGAGTACAGTAAAACTTGATTTTAGCAAGACACTTAACAGATTCCTTGAAGCCCAACAGCCTATTCAGAGATGAAGCTTGTACCTTGTGTTTTGCCTTCTGCACTGTGCCATGTTCATCATTTATCACTGAATTTTCTTCACACTCTGGTGCTAAGTGCCCCTATTTTTATGCTTCCATGTATCTCAGGCTGTGGCACAAACTGGGTATGTATGTGTCCACACATGTATGATGGTTACTGTATTCACCTAACAACCCTCATTAAACCACAAAACATGACTGCCCACCATTTCTGTATCAGCTGGATTGGAAAGACTCCCTAACCCAGGATTTTAGGGCCAGGGTCTAACAGGAGAACTGCTGGGTTGGGTTTTGGCTGTTCAGAATTTGGAGTTCCATACCTAGAAGTCATGTGTGCAGGATAGGCTTCCTCTTTGTTCTTTTGAGTATAATCAGAATTCTGCCTGATTGTTAGACAACCAGTATTTTTTTCCTGCTGAAGCAGAGGTAGCCTTAAGCAAAGTGAAGCCTAACTGTGGGAAGCCATCAACTTGATAGTTATTGCATTTTCACAGCTGAGATTGGAGAGAACGACATATGAATTTTTCTATCACTAATGCCTTGCGTATTTGACAGGAAAGGGACATATTTTGTTATTTTGCTTCAGTGAGGAAAATATCTCTTGGACTTTTACTCCCAGTGTGTGCTATTCACCAACAGCATCTCTCTTGGCAACAGACAGAGATTTAATTCTATATTGAAAACTGTGTTTCAGGGACCAGTGCTGAGTTGAAATGTGAAAGAATACATTTAAGGAATATTGTCACACCCACAAATGTGTCCTTTCATGGGTTCATAGAATCCCAGATTCCCCATTTACAATGTTTATGTGAGAAGCTCATGATGTTTATACCAACTGTGCTCTTATTCCTGTCTAAAACTAAAATGTCTTGGCATGAAATAGTAGTACATATTTGTGGGTGTGACAGTAGATATTACAAACTACCTGGCATAAAAAGATTATATCCTATTTTTCCTCTCCAATCAGTGGGAGCTTAAGCATTCCTCTGTGATCTCAACACAACCATATTGTACTATGTCAGGGGTGTCAAACTCGTGTCGTCACGGCAGCATCATGTGATGTATCAGGACTTTTCCCCCCTTCACTAAAGTGGGTGTGGCCGGTGCATGATGCATCTGGCCTGTGAGCCTTGAGTTTGACAACCCTGTGCTATGTAGATGGCACTGTGACATCATATTATATTAAGTTTTCTAATTGGCTAGGATTGCAGAGTTTTCTTTAAAGTCAAGGTCAAGAAAGAGTGATATACTTTCATCAGAGCCTGTGTACATATACTGATTTTAATAAAGGTTCAGGATGTGTGTATGGGAAAGTCTAAATGGGAAGAGTTATTTTCTCCTACAGTAACTTTCACAGCAAAATGAGAATGTGTTTTAATAGATGGATATTATCTTTAGCAGCAAATGGACTGCTAAATAGAGCAAATGGACTCTTAAATTCAAATTATTATCTGTCTCGTGCCATAGTTTTTTGAGCAGATCATTTTATTTATTCTTGGGACTTAATTATCAGGGATTTGCTAGAGACCATTTCCTTATTAATACAAGAGGCTGACCTTACACAGTAATATTTTAAAAGGGAGCAGGTGGAGGAAAAGAAGAGGACAGTTCCTCTGATCATCAGCAGAGTACCTGTCCTTTTCAAAGTAACAACACATCCCATTTGCATGATGAGTTATACCAAACAAGATTTTCATACACACACCCTTCAAAGAAAATGTAATTTTGACTACAAGGACTTTAAGCACTATCTGATTCCAGAGCAAGGACAACAGCTAGTGTTTATATTCATAGACAGTGTCTGGCCAAGTTTTGGTCAAAACTGCTTTATAAAATGGCAGCCAGAATTAATACAAATCAAAACAACACAGGCAGATTAGCTCCTGTAATCTTATTTAATCATGATATATCCACTAAGGGGTGTTTTGAGAAATGGTTAAGTAAGAAGGAAACAGAAGGAAAAGGAGATCAATGAAACCTATATACAGTATTTACTGTATTTGTACATGTGTATATACAATCACACAGATATACATTATCTATTTATACCCACTGCAATTAAACAAGGTTTACTTAAACATTCAAGTTAAAACATAGCCAAGCAGTTTTCCAGCTGCAAATATTCCCACAGATCTCATAGTTAATCCTCATGGGAAGGAGGCAGTGCTCCAGTAACACTGTTGCTCCCCCCCCCTTAATTCTCAAATGTCTTAAATGAAAATAAAGGTTACTCATTCCCAACGTAGCTCTATTAATGTGTGGCTATGGAAAGGGTAGACTTAAAGTAACCCCTTTAAAAATTCTATTAGGAGCAGCCCCCCTCCCCAAAATCACAAAATATAAAGCAAGCTTTTCATTTCCCAGGAGTTTTCAACAGAGATAACTAGGTGGTAGGGTTGAGCAAGCTACCATATCTTCCCTGTCAGTTCTAGTCAAAGCAGAGTATTTGTGTTTTTGATATGTGTGTCAGGCCAGATGCTTCAGCCCTAGAAGGGAAAATAGATTTGTTGGAAATGAGCCTTCAATAGACAAACAGACTTTTTTGTTTTGTAATTGCCCTCCCCAGTATGATACCCCTATTTGCATTAGATTATAATCTCTTATCATCCTTATAGAGGCTGTAAGTACTGGGGTGGCGATGAAACATATCTGAAGGCTTCCTTCAGTCTCTGTTATCTTAGAAATGCTTTTTTCTGGCACTGTAATGAAAATTGCCTGCTCCTCAACTTCCCTCTGCCTTCAGAAGGGCCGTTGAAAGTGGCTTTGGGGTATGTGTGATAAAAAATAAGGGGAAAAATCAGGAGAACATGTCTAGATTATGGAATATGGCCCTCGTTATGTAAATTGTTTCCAGCTACATACCCATTCCTGTTCTAGAGCCATGTAAATTATAGTACATCAGAGCTCACAGAATAGTTCACCCTAACTCATGATGGCTGGAGGTCTGTGGGTGACTTGGCACAATGCATCTCAAAACTTACCTCATCTGGAAGACAGGAATTGGGCCAGTTTCATGACATTTGAGAGAGTTTTCAAATGGGTAACTTTCTAATGTGAAGTTGGATTGGTTTCTGCAGACTGTACAAGTTGGCACAAAGATGCAACTGAAGCCTCCTCCTCCTAGCAGTGATTCCCACACGAGCAGCAATATTGCCAATACTTAGGTCATACCTAAATCTCACATTATCTCTCTTAGTTTTCTCCCCAGAAAGTGACTACCCTCAATGTTACCTACACCCCCTGTGACTGAGCAGAGATTTGAACTGGAACTTTTCTGGACCGAAGCTAACCCTATATCGCAATGATTCTTAGCTACCCCATCCCCAAATTTAGAAGACCGTATTACATTTTTTAAAATTGGAATTTGTCAATCAAAAATGAGAACAAGAATAAGAGAATAAAAATACAATGACAGGGATGATAGGCACGTTAGTGCACTCATGCACACCCCCTCTACTGACCGCTTAAGTATGAAGTAAAGTCCACGGAAGTCAATTTGTGACTGAAACGCTGAAAAATTGTAGCTGAGACAACTGAATCAGGTTTGCGGGGCTGAAGTGCAGAACAGTAGTAAACTCTGTGTTTAAAAAAAAAAAAGTTCCATCAAAGTCATATTTTGTGATGACTCTAAGCAGTGGCTCCTTAATTCCATCTCGTTCAGATCAATTATTAACTCAAGAGAGCAACTGCTCATTATGTCTGTATGAACAATTCACTGATCAACATACCTAAAGCAGCTGGTAAAAAAGGCCTCAGTGGTCAGAAACTGGGGGTGCTAAATCT